ACAGCACGAACAAGTGCGGCACGAAAAGCCGAGCTGTTCTTCACCGCTGCATCCCAGTGCGAGCCGAGCTCCTGCGACCAACGGTCGGCGATGCTGGATCGAGCTCGAGACCACGCTGCAGCAATCGTCGGTAGGAGGCCGATCATTCTGTCCCCGCAAGCAGGCTTCGGGATGGTGCAGCACAGCGTCTGGAGGATCTGCTCTGGCCATGTGCCGTGCCTCTCAACCTCGTTCCGGAAATCCACGTATTGCTGGCGATCCGCCTCAGGCAGTCGCTGCAGGTCCAGAGGGGGCAAAGCGTCGCACCCCCTTGGCCTTTGACCCAGGCGGTCGACGAAGGAGGCGGCCCACGTGGCCAAGCTCCAGGGCCTCAAAAGGGGTGGCGCGAGCTGCCGTGCGAAGAGCCGCCATGCCATGCAAGAGGTCGCTCCGCGAGCAGGTGTCGTCACGCCAGAGAGGGTCCCAGCGATCAACTTTCTCCGTCACGGTGATAGCTGGGTCCTCGATCTGTCCAGCATCACGTGCGACTCGCTTGGCGTGGCGGTGGACCGCACCAGGGGAGCTCTTCCATCACTCCTACGCCCTACCTGACGAACGCCTGTCCCGCAGACGCCAGGCTGCGGGCGACTGCTCGCCGCGTCCAGGCCTGCGTCTGTTGGGAGGCGGTGTCGAGGTCCTCAAGGTCAGAGCCCGCCCCGGCCGCCAGCCGCAGCAACGCGCGCCGCTCGTCTACCAGCACTGGCGAGGCCTTGCGACCGAAAATCATCTCGCGCGGCTGGTCCAAGCCCCCATCCAGCATCCTCTCGATGGTCTCGACTGTGGTGGTCTGCTGCACCTCATCTCTGCCATGACGCCTGAGAGCAGGCAACTCCACAACCAGAGTGCCGAGCGCGCACCACCACTCAGCCGCTGGGGCGAGCATGTGGGCCCGCCCATGCGAGGGGTTGAGGCGCGCCCGCCTCAGCCGCGGCACCCCCGCCCGCCCGCGACAGCGGGAGCTGGTGGGATCATCAGCGCGCTCGACCCGCAGCACCGTCCCCTCCACCGTACTGACCCAGGTAGCGTAGAGCTGCGTCATCGTTCTGAGGCCGTCTCCCGTCGGCACTGCCCAGGCTTCGCACGCGCCCAGGGCCTCCTGGGAGGAGGAGGAGGAGGAGGAGGAGAAGGAGGAGGAGGAGGAGGAGGATGTGCTGGCGACGAGGCCGCGCCGCGCCGCGCCGCGCGGGGAGGGGGGCAGCAGGTCCCGCGGCGCGGACGTGGTGGCGAAGGGCCTCGGGAAGGACCAGGTGGCGGCCCGAGTTCTGGAGGATCTCGGGCAGACCTCAGCGGCGACGTTAGGGGTGGGGGGAGGGGGCGTCGGCTCAGGGGGGGATGAACTCGAGAGCTCGAGGCTTCGGGCGTTTTTGTGGGTTCCCTGGGGTTTTTCAGCCTCGGCGTGGTGCTCTCCAGCAGCTGCGCCTCGCACAACTAGTTTTTCGAGCATAGTCCGAGTAGGAGACCGATCTCGGCGCCCTCGAGATTGCAGATCTCGAACGGCCGCCGGAGAGCCGAGTTATGGCCCGAATACCGGAGGGGCGACGCTCGGGGGGGATGAGCTCCGGGGGAAGGCAGGGATGCATAGACCCCGATCGCCCATTTATCGCCGATAGGGGCTTGCCCAGGAACGTGTTTTTCGGCATCGGCGGCATATCGCCGATCGATTGGCGATGTATCACCGATTCCTGCTCGATGCTTGTCCCCCTGAGCCCACGCCCCCTAACGTTCTCCCTCAGGGCAGAGGCGGGACGTCGGCGGCTACAACAAGGGCGGATATCTTGGGGGCAGGAATGGCACGCACTTGCTGGAGAGCCTCGTGGAATACGTGGGCCATCGGAGCCCTTGGATACCGTGTACACGCCAGTCGTTGAGAGTAGGTATTTCCTTTTAGCGCCTTCCTGCTTCAAGAGTCAATATGCTTTGGCTGTATTTTGTCATTCTCTGGGAGGTCCTGCGCGCAATCTGCGTATTTACGCAGCCCGCCTTCCTACTTCATGCGTTTACCGATTTTTTCCGACCGACGTGAAGTGGCCTCCCTTTGTGCTGTCCCGCCCCTGCTGCAGCCACCGAGGGTGGTGGGGGGAAGGGGCCTCCCAGCTTTCTCGCAACGCTGCTCCCTACCCCCCCTGCAGCTGCTCGCCACAGCCAGCGGGCACTGGCCGTGCTTCGCCGCGCAAGGAGTGCTGACATCGATTCGGGCTATCCTGGGGGTGCTCGTTAAGTCCTCTCGGGCCGTATTGGGGGCTCTTGGACCGTCTTGGGGCCATCTTCTTGGCATCGCTCGGACGTGCATGCGCGGGGCATGCACGTCGGAGCAGTGGCGAGTCTTGGGCCGTATTGGTAGCCTGCCTGAGCCGTCTTGGAAGCCATCCTGGGCGCCCTGGAGACCGCGAGGGAGGGGCCGGGCCGCCCAGGAAGCCCGAGGAGCGGTGGGGCGACGCACGCAAGGAAAGTGCGGGCAGAGGGGGGGGGTCCTGCAGCTTGGCATCGCGCGGACGTGTGCGTTTTTTTTCGCGGCGGGGATCATCGAGAAGCCTCATGGACCATCCTGCGAACAGGCAAGACACGCACGAAACCGAAAAAGGCACGGGGAATGGACGTCCGAGCGATGGCAAGCTAGGCGACTACAGAAATCCTACCAAAGAGAACGTGGCAGTATCCCACGCCTCAACGTGCCAGGGGGCACAGTACGGTGGGGGCGTTCGTTGAGGAATGTGCCCTGGAGGCGTCAGACCATAAATGACCCCTATCTGATGAGGTCGGCGGTGATATCCACTGCCACGTCTCAATTGGAGTGAGACCGGCTTCCAGGCCTTGGTGTCGTGATCCAAAGGTCCTTGATTGCCACCACCGTAGCAGGTTTTATGGACAGTGTTTGTGATCTTGCGCAAGAGTATTATTGCACCTTTGACTCAAAGTGCTGACGCCGCACTAACGGGCGTCCTAGTATGCGCTTGGTGTTGCCAGGCGTTGATTGAGGACGACAGCCCGGTGAGAAGAAGCAGGGTAGGAGGATGAGGAGGAGGAGGACGAAGATGAATACAAGTAGGAGGAGGAGGAGGAGGAGGAGGAGGAGGAGGAGGAGAGGGAGGAGGAGGAGGAGGAGGAGGAGGAGGAGGAGGAGGAGGAGGAGGAGGAGGAGGGAGGAGGACAGCAGGGAAGGAGGAGGCCTCTTGAGGCCTTTTGGGCCAGCTGCAGAGTCATTCCTCCCTCCTCCTCAGTCGAACAAAAACGCTGGAGGGGCGGGGGCAGCAGCAGGAGGAGGCACCCGACAGGAGCTCGCGGACCTGCGCGTGGAGTTCACCCAGGACATGTCGGGGGAGCCTCTGGAGCTGGTTGTGGCCGAGGCGACCCAGAAGGCCACAGCGGGAGAGCCACGCTCGGGTGCCATCCATGGGTGGCGGCGGCGGCGCCGACGCCGACGTCGACGCCGACGCCGACGACGACCAGTGTTTCTCGGCGAGGGCCATCGGGAAGCATCTTTGCTCTTCGAGAAAAAAACGCACGAAACCGAAACACGCACGGGGAACGGACGTCCGAGCGACGGCGAGGCACGAGGTGTTTGCTGAACACTGGTGCGCGGTTGCACATTGCGCCGGCACTGAGCACACCTTGGAGCACGATCTCGTCGCAGGCTGCGAGCAGGTCTTCCGAGGGCCGAGGCGCTCAGCACCCCGCCAAAGGCGCGCTCTGGCGCGACGGAAGTCTCTCCCCCTCTCTCTCTACTACGAAGTGCGCTTAAGCGAACGAGGAGGAGGAGAAGGAGGAGGAGGAGGACGAGGAGGAGGAGGAGGACGAGGAGGAGGAGGGGGAGGAGGAGGAGGAGGGAGGATGATGAGGAGGAGATGGAGGAGGAGGAGGAGGAGGAGGAGGACGGAAGTCTCTCTCTCTCTCTCTCTCGCTTGCCGAATTCGGGCGACGGAGCCGCATGCGCAACGTTCTGCTGGAGCCGCAGCTCGGGCTCCCAACGGGCACGAAGCACGTGAGGGGTACGCCAGATTGAGACGGGGGACGCATGCGATCGTACCCTCCCATCAGGGTCGCGGCGAGAGACTCTCCCTTTAAAGCAAAACACGTGCGCGAGGGGATCGTATGTGACGTGCCCACGAGGGCCATAGTTAAAGGTAATACTTGGTCGCGAAGAGAGGGGTGTGCTGAATTTAGGCGGGGGCTGCATGCGACAGTGCCAAGTCAGACCATGGAGCACGACGTGCGTGAGGGATGTGCCGAAGGAGGCGGGGACCGCATGTGACCGTGCTCATTGGGGTTGTAGGTGGAGCTCCGTCTTGGCCGCGAACCGTGTGAGGGGTGTTCCGACTTGAAGCAGGGACCGCATGTGGCATTTTTTGTTGGGGCCGTGTTTGGAGCTCCATGTGGGGCGCGAAGCGTGTGAGGGGTGTGCCGAAGTTGGCGCGGCGAACCAGGCGAGCGGCTAGCTGCACAGCAGCTGCAGGGGGAACCAGCATCGCCAGTCGCAACATGCAGCAGGTAGCGCACCAGGAGCAGCGGCGGGACGGGTAGGAGGCGGGCGTACAGGCTCAATGTGGATCCGATCGATCCGATTGGATATCGATTCTGGCCGATTTGATCCGATTCAATTCCGATGCTCCTACGATTCGATGCGGCCCGACGTTTGCTTTGCATTGCTCGCTACGGCGACGTCACTTGCCCGTCGAAGGACTGAATGTGCATTGCGTTTGCGTCCACAATTGAGCATGATTAGCTTTTTGAGGAGTTCGAAAGGAAGGTCGTTATGGAGTTTGGCATCCGTTACTTGTGATAGCCGAAGCACGTGTGGAAACGAGATTACCCACTTACCCACTCATCTGATGAAACCCAGCTCCACAGCTCCACCAATTGTGGGCGGGCGCTGTCCACATGCACGAGGGCCCCGGGCGGTTCGCCGTGCGCCCCCCCTGCCGTTCATTGCCCGACCTGTCATGGGACATCTACGGCGCGCCCAGGTGCTCGCATGTACAACGGCATGCACCACCTCCGCAACAGGCCGAGCGGGCGGGGGGGGGCCAGATCGCTTGCAGGTGCAACGTGCGCGTGTGCTGGCACGTGGTTGCAAGTCAGGAGCATTGCGACGGCGTTCTTCGCACAGGGACCCACATGGGCGTTCATCCGTCTGGGCCGGCCCTCCACCCCCCGCAGCGAGAGTCAAGTTGTGTGGTTCCTTGATGGTGTGCGAAATCGCCGCGGCTGTTGGGATAGGACGCTTCCGCGCCGAAGCCTTCGAGGTTTGAGGTGGCGCAGGTCGGGAGCCCGAACACAGGGTCTTCTCTGTTCAGGCAGTGCGCGCGGCAAGTTGGAGCGAGGAGGTCGAGGAGGAATGGACGAGAGTCGAATAACAAACATGGGCACCGATAGTAATCATTCGGAGGTCTGCGCGGGTTTCTGGGGCCAGCGCTGGGCCCGTCCTGGCGGCGCCGCCCCTGGCGCGCTGCGCCAGCTAGGGAGAGGGCGTCCAGCGCCGATGCAAGAATTCCGCGCAGACCTCCAGAAATGTATATTCATGCCGATGTTAGTAATTCTAGACGGGGAGGAGCACGTAGGAGGGAGGAGGTACTAGTGGGAGGTGGGAGAAAAGGTGGGGGAGGAGGAGGAGGAGAGGTAATCATGGTGCGGAGGAACGACACGGGGATGAAAATGAGGAGGTGGAGGGGAGGAGGAAGGGGGGGGGAGGGGGCGATATATTTGGAGGAGAGGGAGGAGGAGGAGGAGGAGGAGGAGGAGGAGGAGGAGGAGGAGGAGGAGGAGGAGGAGGAAGAGGCGGAGGCGGAGGAAAAAGAAGGCGAGGAAGAAACCCACGCCTCGATTCGTTGTTCTTCTGGTGTCTTGAAAGTGACAGCTAGGGCGGCCAGACCGCCAGGGTATGGCCAACGCCGTGATTTCGCAGGTGCGGGGTCGGGCCCTCCTAAGTCGGGTAGGCGGGCAAGGAACGTGAGGAAGAGGGGCGAGGATGAAGTGGAGGAGAAGGAGGAGGGAGGAGTGATAAGGGAGCAGGATGAGGAGGGAAGGTGGAGGAGAATGGGGAGGAGGCGAAGGGGGGGACAAGCAGGAAGGGGGAGGCTTGTCCAAGGGGGGCTGTTCACATCTTTGCGGGGTTGTCCAATGGGTTGCCTGGGCCGCGTTGTCTTGCCAACACGTCTACATGCTATTACCAAACATACCATCAAAATCATGGCACAACCAGGGAAGCCCAGCTGGAAATGTCGCCTCTATTTCGTCCTTCCCATTCTGTCCGTTCCTCGTCTCTCGTGCCCCCCTTTCGCTCCTGTTCGCACGCCCTCCTTACCGCGCCTCCACAAAAAGCTGTGCTGTCTGGGGTCCCGTTGCAGTAGAAGCTAGTTCTTGCCAAGGGGTCAGCGCTCAGAGACATCCGCCAACACTGGGGGGGGTCTGGCCATGTTCGCCAGAGACATCCTCGCAACTCTGGGTTCGGAGATGCCCTGAACTGAGGGTGGTCTCGACAGTTTGGTTTGACACATTCTCGCAATTCTGGGCTCGGAGATGCTAGCGTCCCTGCATCTCTGGGCTCAGAGTTGCAGCGCGCGAGATGGTCCAGCCAGTTTCGCTGGAGACATTCTCGGAACTCTGGGTTCAGAGATGCCGCGTGACATTGTCTGGCCAGTTTCGCCTGAGACAGCCTCGCAACACTGGTTTCAAAGATGCCATGACCTGAGGCGGTCCGGACCGTTTCTTCTGAGACGTCGTCAGATGTTGCGCGAGATACGGTCTGGCCAGTTTCACTTGGGACGTCCTCGCATGTCTGGGCTCGGAGAAGCAGCGTGCGCGGCCAGAGTCGCCTGAGACGTCCTCGCACTTCTGGGCTCCATTTCTGGGCTCCGGTATGACCTGACCTGAGGTGGTCTGGCCAGGTTCGTCTGCGACATGCCGCGCACAAGGTGATCCGGCCAGTTTCGCCTGAGACGTCCTCTTGTTGCTGAGCTCGGAGAACAGCGCGCGCGGCCAGCGTCGTCTGAGTCATCCCCGCAACTCTACGCACCGAGATCCCCTCATCTCAGTGGTTCGGCCAGTTTCGCCTGAGATGTCCTCGCAACTTCAGCCTCCGAATTGGCGCTCGCGAGGTGGTCTTGGCCCGCGTCGCCAGAGACAATCTCGCGATTCTGGGCTCGGAGATGCCGCGCGAGAGGTGGTCCAACCAGTTTCGTATGAGACATCCTCGCAACTCTGGGTTCCGAGATGCCTCGTGCGAGAGGTGGTCCAGCCTGTTCCGCCTACGATCCTCGCAACAATGGGATCAACGGCGCCGCGCACGATGTGGTCTGGCCAGTTTCGTTTGAGGCGTTTCTCGCAACTCTTGGTTCCGAGATGCCTCGCGCGAGGTGGTTTGGCCAGTTTCGCCAGCGGGGCTGCCAGGGCTGTCAGGAGGCATGCTGGGAAGCTCACTCTAAGCGTGCACGCTCGCTTGCGGCGCACGTTTCTGCCCACGTTGCGCCCCAATTCGGATTGTGCCAGTGCTGGGTGTGCATGAAGGAGCGGTTGCCGGCGCGCGGGCAGGCGTCACTCCTTCTCGGGGAATTGCGCTTCGCTGGGGGCAGCGCGGCAGAGTTTGCACGTCTCGCTCCGCAGCGTCCCGCGCAGCTCCCGCAGGTCCCTGAGTGACCAGCGCCTTGCCAGGCGCCCGCGGCTGCGATTGCGCGTGTTGCCCGCTTGTTAACAAGCCCCAATTCACATTGTTCGAGTACCCACCTGAAGTGGAGCGTGGGATGGCGTGCTCGGGCCCCGCCAGGCCAGCGGCCAAATCGAAGCTTGGGCGCTCTGGGTAGTTCGGAGGACTGCACGCGGGAACGAGCTGGTCGCTTTGCATTTACACATTGTCTGGCGGGGCCCAGATTTCGCGCAACGAGAATAATGTGGATCTTTGGACGGCGGGCCGCATTGCTGCTCCGCCGATACCGTTTGGCAACATTCGCACGCTGCGGGATGTCGCATCGGGAATTTGTGGCGAAGGATGCGTGTTTGCAAGTGTCGCGTGCGGGGGGAAGCTTGCGCGCGAAGTAGGCGGGGCTGCGCGCGGACGACCCGAAGAGGAAACTGGACTAGGACGAGACATCGCGTGGGGAATACAAGCGCTGACGATAAACTTACATTGTTAAGAAAGCGTGGATGTGAAGTAGCGGCGCGATTCAGCGGAGGGGGCAATCCATAAACAGGAAAAAGGGGGTGATCGAGGGGCTTGCCCAGAGGGTCGTCAACGGTTTGTCCGGCCTCAACTTCCTCCTTCCTTTCGTCCTCTTCCTCTTCGTGCAAGAGAAGCGTCGCCCACCGTCGCAGCCAATTTCGTATGGTGCGCCGCGTGCGTGACAAGTCGTGCTGGAAGTAAATCAGATACCACCGTTCCAAGGATCGCCGCGTTGTGCCGCATGCGAGCCGTGTCGCGCAGGGGGTGAACCCGACACCTGATACCATGAGGAACGCCAAAGCGCGTCAAACAGAAATTGCTTCGCACGGGGGCCCGTTCGGGGACCGCCGCCACAGCAATCGCAATGGCGCGCCCGCATGGAACGACTTCGGGGGCCACAACCACAATAACCACGATCGCACCGCTCGCAATCCCACGCGCACGTTGAGTTTTTCCGTGACCGCCACGCCACAGCCACTGATCACCCCCTTCGTCATTTGTTTGTTCTTCTTTTCTCTCCGACCTTCTCTCTTCCTTCTTTTCCAGCTTGTCTCCGACAAAACAGGAGGACAAAGGGAAAAGGGCGAGGAGGGGCTGGAGGAGGAGGAGGCGGAGGAGGACGAGGAGCAGGAGGAGGAAGAGGGGACGGACCACCACGACGACGATGACGATGATGGCGGTGGCTGTTGCCTCGGCGGCGGCGGCGCGGGGGGGCGCTTCGGCGCACGCGCCCCGTCGCAGCTCTGGGCCCACAGATGCCTCTCGAGAGGTGGTCTTGCAAGTTCCGCTTGCGACATCCTCGCAGCTCTCGGCTCCAAGATGCGGCGCGTGAGATGTTTCAGCCATTTCCGCCTGAGACATTCTTCGCTTCAGCGGGTTCCGAGATGACGCGCGCGAGTTTGTCCAACCAGTTTTGCTTGAGCTATCCTCACAATTCCGATATGCCATGGCCCGAAGTGGCTTGGCCACCGTCGCATAAGACATCTTCGCAACGATGGGCTCAAAGATGCCACGCGCGACGTTTTCAAGCCAGTGTCACTTGAGACGTCCTCGCAACTCTGGGTTCCAATATGCCCTGTCCGGAAATGGTGCGGACCTTTCTTGTTGAAATACCGTCAGGTGCCGAGAGTTGGTGTGGCCAGTTTCGCTTGAGACGTCCTCGCAGCTCTGGGCTTGGAGATGGCGCAAGCGAGGTGCTCCAGCCAGTTCCGCCTGAGGTATCCTCGTAACTTTGGGCTCCTATGCTTTGACCTGCGGTGGTCCAGCCGGGTTCATCTGCGACATGCCGCGCACGATGTTATCCAGCCGTTTTCGCATGGGACATCTTCACAATTCTGGGCTCAGAGATGCCGCGCGAGAGGTGGTCTGGCCAGCTTCGCCTGCGACAAAGTCGCAACTCTAGGCTCCGAGATGCCGCGTACGAGGTTGTCCAGGTATTCTCGCGTTAGATCTCTTCGCAACTCTAGGCTCCGATATACCGCGCACGAAGGTGTCCAGGCAGTTCTGCATGAGACATCCTTGCTAGTTACTGGGCTTCGATATACTCTGACCTGAGGTGGTCTGGCCACTTTCAAATGAGACTTCCTCCAGATTTTGGCTCAAGGATGCCGCGCGCGAAGGTTTCTGGCAGGTTTCGTCTGAGATATCATCGCAACTCTGGGTTCAGAGGTGCCCTGACCAGAGGTGTTCCAGACAGTTTCACCCGAGATATCCTCACAATTCTGGGTTCGGAGATGCCGCGCGAGAGCTGGTCGGGCCAGTTCCGCCTGCGACATCCTCGCACCACTGCGCGCTGGCCACGTCTCTGATTGGGAACGGTACTCTCGCCTCAACGCTGGCCACATCCTTTCTTAGGTACGTACATGTAGTGTTGCCGCTCGAGCGCCAGACACACCCGTGGTTGGGAATGGTGCTCTCTCGCCCGAGCTCTGGCTACATCCCCGTCTGGGAGTGGTGCTGTCGCCTTCGCACTAGTCACATCCCTCATCATTAGGCGTGATGCTCTCGCCCCAGCGCCAGCCACATCCCTACGTGGTATTGGGCTGCCGCTGGAGCGCCAGCCAACATCACGTGCTGGAACGCTCATGGTGTGCATCTTGGAGGGATTGTCCTGGTTGTCCAGTGGGGTATCCGGGGATTTGTTTGGATTCTATTTTTCCATTGAACATAATAGATACATATCTGCGAATAGTGCCCGTCAGCGCTCAATGGCGCCAAATAGCGCCCAGTAGCGCCCAGTGGCTCCAGGTAGCATTCAGACAGCGCTCGCATAGCGACCATTAGCGCCCAATGGCGCCATGCGAGGGATCGGGGCGCAGGCAATGACAGTTGTCGGAAGTCTGAAGAGTTCCCCTGGACGCAGGAAGGCTTCCATCGGCTGTGCCTCGTCGAGGGCGTGTCCTGGGGAGGCCGGACTCGTTCCGAACGGCCGCCCAGTGCCCGAGTTCAGTGTGTCCCGACAGAGCTGGTTGGAGGAGATCCGGGCGCACGCAACGGGGGTCCGCAAATCCCTCCTTGGCTGACCCTGGCTCGGGCGCCATGTTTGGGGGTCCGAGCAGGCGTTCCGCAGTGCGGGGAGATCGAGGGCGGCAGGAGGGGGACCCAAAAGGGCCCCCGTGTATTCCCCCTGCGCATTGTCGGGAAAGCGTAAGACTCGAGTAATCCGGATCGGGGGTTTGCCGACGCTTTTTGACGAGCGCATCCTGGGTTTTGACGGTCCACTTTTCGTGGGGCGGGAGTTCGCGTCAGGTTTTAGACTGGGCCTCGTCATTTTCATGACGGCCCCGTCAGGCCATCTCGAGTCGCCCCGTACCCGAGTCTGACGTCTCCCCGATATTGCCCCCATGAAGCGACTCCGAATCCCAAACCGGTGCAGTGACAGACCGTGCGGTGACCTCGAGATCCCCAGTGGCCTCACCGCCTGGCCTGTCGCCGCGGGGAAGTGAGAGGGGGTGGGCCTTCTCAGAAGGCTCGGAAGTCCCCCGGCCGTCTGATAAGATGCCCAAGCCATCCTCGAAGACACGGGACACCTCTCAGAAGGCCCCAGGGGTTTCTTAGAAGCCCCGCTGCCGACTGAGATGGCCCTCTCCTTGCCTCACTTCGCTCCTCCCCTCGCTGGGTGGGGGTGGGGGGCGCGCCCGACACGCGTGGAGCCGACCCCCCCCCCCTCACCCGTGGCACGGGGCTCGGGAGCTGCTCCGTGGCTGGCCCAGGCTCGCGACGCGGCGTGACCGCCGGCCGCCCCGGCGCAGCGCGGACCGGGGCCAGCGCGGCCCCGGCCAGGGGCTGTCAGACGAGCCAGGACGAGGACAGAATCTGATAGACTCGTTCCCCACCACCACCACCACCATAGGTTGGAGGGGGAGGGGGTCCTCCTCCTCCTCCTCCTCCTCCTCCTCCTCCTCCTCCTCCTTCTCCTCCTCCACCTCCTTCCCCCATCCAACTTATGGTGGTGGTGGTGGTGGTGGAAAACAGGCCCATCATCGAGAATCTCTGAGATCCGGCGGCTCGGGAGGATGTCTCGTGCGCCGTGGTCTTCTCCAGAGCGTTCTGGGACGCTCTGAGAGCGTCCCGAAAAGCGCCAGAACGGGTTCATCTTCGTCCTGGCCCCGTCAGAGGTTGCCAAAAGGTGCTTCTGGGCCAGGGTGCCCACAGTGTAGCGCTGACCCGGGCCAGCGCGTCCCCGATCGGGGGGTTCTACGTAACGGTGCCCCTAGCCCAAGGTACCCCCAGCTGTTCGCTCGATTTGGGAGCCCTCGGGCCTCGTGGGGGATTCTCTGGAGACCGCGGGGGGCGTCCTTGGAGATCCTGGGGACACCTTGGGCCTGGGACTCTTCTAGCAACACCCGACCCGAAGAGGCCAAGCAAGTCGATTACAGTAGTTTCGTGCGGCGTCGACGCGGCGGCGGTTCCAGCGCGGGCGTTCCAGTGTGAACGCCACCAGTGGCCCAGAACCTGCCGACGTCGAGGGACCTGCATTTATTACAGCCCATTGGAAGTCCGCGAGCGTTCAAGGCTGAAGGATCCACGCAGTGTCAGGAGCCAGCGCCAGGGCCGTCAGGGCACGAACTTGGCGCAGGTGCCTGGGGGCAGCAGTTTCTCCGTCTGCGGTGGACTTTGGCGCCCCCGCGCGGCGGCGGCAGGCTCCGCGAGCGCCACGCCCTGGGGTGCCGGCGGCTGCGGGGCGTGCTCTCGTCCATGGACCACGAGGGGTCTGGGCAGGCGGGCGGCGGATCGGAGGAGAGGGGCGGGCGCAATGTTCGGCGGTGCGCCTAGGGGGGGAGGTGAGAGGAGGCGTGCCTTCTCAGAAGGCGGCGGGCTTCTCAAAAGCTCTCGCGCCATCTGGGAGCCGCCGTGAGACTTCTCTGAAGTCTGAGACGGCTGCTCAGAAGGCCGGGGAGCTTCGGAGAACCCCGGCCAGGGGGCTTCTGAGAACCCTGGCCGCTTTCTGAAAAGGCCTGCCCCCTCTCACTGGCCCCTTGGGGTCGCCGCCGAAATCTGCCCTGGGGAGCAATGCGTCCCAGGGTCACGCTGAGTCGCTCGACCCTCAGCTGCGGTGCTTTCATGTCGTGCGTTGGACGTTGGACGGGGGAGGCAAGAAACCGAGGGCGCGACGGGCGCGGGCCCAGCCGCGGGTCCCATCAGGGGATCAGGGGCAACTCTGGGGGGCGATGCGCTCAGGAGGGCCGCACCGACCCCCCCTCGCCCACCCATCGCCGAGGGGGGCCCCACGGCCCGCCCCGACCCGGGACCCCGCGGCTGCGCCGTCGGGGGCCCGTCGCGCCGATCCATCGGCGATGCATCGCCGATTCAGGCTCCCCGAGCGGATCTGGCCAGGACCCGGGTAAGGGGCGCCGGTGAGCGAGTGGGCCCCCAGCCAACAGAACTCGCCCAGAATCGCCAGACCAAGGCAACCGTAGCTGGTGTTTCTTCGGGTGACGGCGGTTCGGCCAGTGGGACGTGGCTGGGGTGGGTGGGCGCTCCCCCGGGTACACAGCATTAAACCAGGCCCCACCAACCGCCAGTGGGACGTGGCTGGGGTAGGTGGGCGCCCCCCCCGGTACACAGCATTAAACCAGGCCCCACCAACCGCCAGTGGGACGTGGCTGGGGTGGGTGGGCGCCCCCCGCTACACAGCATTAAACCAGGCCCCACCAAGCCCAGTCCTGCCAGCGCCCGACCTGAGCCAGTCCCCCCTCCCCCCAACGGGCCTCCTCAACGAGGAGCGGGGCGGGCACGGACCCAGCTGCAGGTCTCGTCGTCTCGCGGGAGGGAGAGGTGACCGCCCTTGTGCCTGGATGCCTGGCTGCTTTGCGCCCTCTGGGCGAGGGGTCTCTCTTGGCCCCATATTGTCAGATGCGTCAGAAGCGTCGTCGTCGTCGTCGTCGTCGTCGTCGTCGTCGTCGTCGTCGTCGTCGTCTTGTTCGTCGTCTTCGTCGTGGTCAACGTCGCCGTCGTTCTCGTCGTCGCCGCCGCCGTCGCCGTCGCGCCACGGCTGCACGCAGCTCGAAGATCTGGCTGGGACGGACCCGCGCAGAGTTCCGGAGAATGATTTTTGAGCAGATGCGGGGGCGAGGGGCCGCCATAGTAATACGATCGAGCGATTCAGAAATGCTTGGGGGATCGCACCGCCCCGGTGGGAAGTGGACGATTGAACAGATAGTTTCGGTTCGTCGTCGTAGTCGCCTCCGAGGCCGCCAGGCCGCAGCCAGCGACCCAGACAAGTGGCACGCGTGTCAAGGATAATACAGTCACGTATGCGGGACAATGGGAGCTGGAGATGGAGATGGCGCCAACCTGTGGCAGCTTCGGGGAAGCGCGCGAGTGCCGCGACACGCGGCGAGTGACCATAACGGAGGAGCGGCGAATAGAAGCATGGCTGCTTGGACGCAGCGCCAGATTCGATCCGAAGGCGATCTTAATATGACGGGAGAGGTTTGCGAGGCTTGAACGGCGTGTTTTATAGTGCAGGCCCCTTGTATGGAGCGAAGCGCTTGGTCTCAAAAGAGGGGGGCGCGATGGCATGCGTAGCCAGATCCGCCACCGTATTTTCAGCACTTTGTGGAGCGCCCCGAGGTTCGTAAGGTTTGTAAGGTCCTCAAGGGCCTGGACCCTTGGTTTCCCAGGCGCTCTGGCCCGCTCTGGCGCGGGCCCGGGGCGTATCGCGTGGGCTTTGAGGGCGCCACGAGGGCCCGTAGACGGGCCAAGAGGGCCCTCAGAGACTCCCGAGACGGTGGGAAAGGGCCCCGAGTCGTCGAACGATCGGTCCAAACGGCCCAAGATAGCCTCCAGACGCCCTCAGATGCCCCCAAGACCCCAAGAGGCCTTCAAGAAGCCTTCCGAGAGGGCCCCAAGAGACAACAATAACATAGGTTTGATAACTTTTTGAAATATTGCTCGCTCTTGGGAGCTCTGGTGTGAAGAACTTGTTATGTCTCCGTGAGCTCGTCGGAGCCATGGTGTCATTTGGCGCCACGGTCGGCCGGTCGGCATAAGCGGAGAGAAGGGGGACACGGGGGGCCACGGTCGGGCAAGGAGGGGGGGGGGGCGATCGGTCGGTCGGAATAAGCAGAGGGGGTGGGGCACGGGGGGAAGGGGGAGGGCACGGGGGGCCACGGTCGGGCAGGGGGGAGGGGAAGCGCGGTCGGCCGGTCGGAATTCGCAGAGAGGGGGGGTGGCCACGGAGGGACCACGGTCGGGCAGAGGGGGGGGCGCGGTCGGTCGGTCGGCATAAGCAAGGGGGGGGGGGCACAGGGGAAGGGGGGGAGGGGGAGCACGGGGGGCCACCTTCGGGCAGGGGGGTGGGCACGGTCGGTCGGTCGGACCAGGCGAATGGGGTGGGCACGGGGTGAAAAAGGGGGAGGACACGGGGGCCACGGTAGAGCAGAGGGGGGGGGGGGGGGGGGCACGGTTGGTCGGTCGGAATGAGCAGAGGGGGTGGGCACGGGGGGGAGGGGGGGCACGACGGGGGGGCACGGTTAGGCAGGGGGGGGCTCATGGGCGGTCGGTCGGGATCAGCAGAGGGGGGCCACGGGGAAAAAGAGGGGGAAGCACGGGGGGCCGTGGACGGGCAGGGGGGGGCCGTGTCGGTCGGTCGGAAGAAGCAGAGGGGGACCACAGGGGGAAGGGGATGGGGGGGCACGGAGCGCCACGGACTGGCTGGGGTGGCGCACGGTCGGTCGGTCGGTGTAAGGGGAGCGCGGGGGGCCGCGGTCGGGCAGGGGGGGGCACGGTCGGCCGGTCGGGATGAGCAGCGGTGGGGCAGGGTCGGGCAGAGGGGGGGCGTATCGGGGTTTTATCCCCGATCTATCGCTGATGTACAATCGATTCCAGGTCGATGGTTCACCCCCACCCCCTATCGTTGTCCGTCAGCTTCGCGGAGGCAGCTGTGTGGTCTTGGCCAGGACCCCGCCCTCCCTTACAAATGCTTTCTCCGAGCAGGAGGCTCCTCTAGACAGATCTGCAGCAGGAGGCCCCCACATTGGGGTGTTCAGCGTGGTCGCTGCAGCCGATGCCACGTACACTAAGCTAGAAGAGCTGCTCATCCAGTGGCGGGGCTCCGTCGCCAAGCGAGATTTGTTTTGTCTTTGCCGGCCACGGGGAACGCCGAGTTGGCGACAACGTTTTGTTTCCGGTGGAAGCCATGCAGCGCAGTGTCATCGCGTTGGCATCGAATGGCGTTATCGACGCATGTGGTCCGAGTATCGTCCAGGGTCCACGCCGAGAGGAACTCGTATTGGACTGTTGCCAGTCGCAAGGTGAAGGCATGGAGCGGAAAGTACGGTATCCTCGTCGAGGTGAATATGTTGTTCCCATCGTGTGCGGTGCAGGCCGCGTATCGACAGAAGGGATGAACGAAATTGGCAGTCAAGGTTTGATGGTAGGCCACGGGTATCTCACGTGCGCACTCCTCCAGCATTGCGGCGAGGACTTGTACCATGTTTTTCCATATCTTGCCTCAAGCGTTCGCCAGGCCAAAGGGAATTTGCGGACGCCATGGATTCTTTCCAATGTTTGCGGGGAGGAACGACAGGTGGACTCGGAAACCCAACTCTCAGGGGTCGCAAACAACAATCTAGCCACATCATTTTTGCGGCAGCATTTGCGGGTCAGTGGAGGTTGATGCCATTGTGAATCCCTTCCGACGCAGGAGCATGTGGGCCTTTGAGAAGAATGTTGTGCTTGACATAATGTTTTTGGTCGGCGACGTTCAGGTCCCCCAGTGTATGCTATAATATCCACACAGGGCAGGACCTGCTCACTTGGACTGGTTGAGTGGCCTACGAGTTGAAGTACCCAGCGTTCTTGTGATCTCGCACGCCTCGTATTGAGGGGCGCCTCGCTGCCTCGAATCCGTCCATTACACTGGTATCATGTAGCATAACCTTTTTGATCGTAGCGGGCATCTGGTGCAATTTGTTGATACTGAGTTGCGCGCGTGGCACGCAGGGGTTTCGTGTTGGCGCCTGGTCGGTGCAGTAGGTAGCAGTGTTGACTATCTTCGTGTGAGCGACGTGAATAGCCATCATACGAGCATTACTCTCGATGGCAACGGTTGCCACGAGGAATGCACTGTCCAGCAGTACGCAACCCGAAATGCCCTCTTTGCTTTGCTACGAGATCGTTACCCGATATGCGGGCGGAATGTGGTGGGCCTGGGTGAAGTAGCGCATCCTCCGGGAAAGCACCAAGCTCCAGTCGTCCATTTTGATTTGGATAGATCAGAGTGTTGTGGTTCGGATTTCCCTTCACGCCGCCGCGTGCGAGAATGTCAGCCCAAATCACCACAGTTAACCCATGTTGGGGGTGACGCGAATTCGAGATCGCTGGCGCTTGCTTTGTTAGACTGGGGGTACAGTTGCGACGAGGACAGACCTGACTGTGATGCAGATTGTAATGGGTACCTGGGGGCCGCTGGGATGGGACACGGTGGCAATATTGATCAAGGGCATTCGCTGCTCGCACAGATGCTCACGTTTCGTTCCCAGTGTGAGTTGCGTGGGAGGTCGCACAATGAAGATCATATTGCCGATCACATGTCGGGTCATAAGTCGAGCGTTACAGATATCGCATCCGCGCGTTCGTTCTTACGTGAAATGGATTAACGTGGGGGCCGCTGAGGCGCGGGTAAATCCCGTTACCTAGCAAGCCGAGTTGTATTTGGCAGACGGCAGATTAGATGGTTCACTAAGGTTAGGTTGGTCAGAATCCATTGGCGCATGCATGCTCTCGATTGCTTCAGCGCTGACGCTGAATTTGAAATCTCAGGGGCTCCCCAGCACGTTCACAGGAAGCGCCTGCACAAGATAACGAATTGGCAGCAAGCGTTAGGTGATAAATCACGGAAGCTTCTGCTCGGTTTGCATTGAATGCCCATCGGCGAATAGCGCCTAATAGCGCCCAGTGGCGACCGTCCGACCTGCCTTGCTTTCGCGCGCTGCCACGTGTGTCCGTCCCCAGCCCAACATGTCAGCAGGCCACGACTTCCAGAGCATCCCCTTGCAAGGCTCAGGGGGCCTCAGCGGACCCAGAATTACGCAAAATATTGTGGGCACGTCGGCCCGTCAGGCCGGCAAAATTTGTGGCACCACCGTCCCCAGGCCTTGGACGTTGCGGTGGAGGGGGAAGCAGAGGAGGAGGAGGAGGAGGAGGAGGAGGAGGAGGCGGAGGAGGAGGCAGCGAGGAGGGGGAGGAGGATCAGAGGAGAGTGGAGGAGGAGCATGAGGGATGGCGTGCGAGAAAGGAGGACGAGGGGGGGGCGGAGGAGGAGGGGCAGGGGGACGGGAGGAGGGCAGTCGAAGGGGGGGAGCCAGGGTGCGTTTTGGAGAGCGTGCCTCCCTCAGGTGGAGTTCCGGCAGGCGTACGCGACAAAGCTGAAGGATTGGGCCCTTCTGGAGACGCCGGAGTACCTCGGCGCCACTGGCGCGCTCGCCGAGAAGGGGGCCAGGGACCCAGCGGTAAGAGGTAGGACGATGGGAAGGAGGCAGGAGGAGGAGAGAGGAGTGAGGCAAGCTAGGTGCGCGCGCGCGCCATTTCGGATACTCTGTCCCCCAGCCATCCTCTCCTACTTGCGCTGCGTTTCCCTAGTGGCGTTTCGCTATGGAGGTTTCTGATACTGATGAAAGATGTCCTTTCACCAGAATCTCCGCATGGGGGTGCTGGTCCGGCGGAGGTCCGGCAGCGCTCACTATGGTGTTCTGGCTGGATTTTGCCCAGACGCGTGACTCAGTATGGTGTTTGGGCTCCACGGGGGGCCGGAGGGAGGTGTCTCCCAGGCCCGGCGGTGGCGCGGCAGACTGCCCGCACCGTGTGCTTTACATATGTTCCTATCGATTGGCCTGTTTCTGTGGCTCGAATCTCATGTGTTTTACATATGTTCCTATCGATTGTCCTTCCTGGAGCTCGAAGCAGTGTGTACTACCGATGTTCTTATGTTCTGCCTTTCTACTGTGGCTCGACTACGAAGTATTTTACGTATGTTCCTATATGTCGTTTCTTTCTGTGGTTACATGCATACATATACATACATACATACATACATACATGCATACATACATACATACATACGTACGTACGTACGTACGTACGTACATACATACATACATACATACATGTATATATATGTATATAGATGTATTGCTTCTCCCCTGTGGCTCGAACCCTAATTACATGTTTAACGTGTGCTCTTATATATAGTTTGTATATAGTGCCCATTTTCTGGGACTCGAATCCCACGTGTTTTACAGATGTTCCTATCAATTGCCCCTCTCGTGTGGCTCGAATCGCTTCTGTTGTAGTATGTTGTTCCTATACATTGCCCCCCTTCCAGGGGCTCGAACCGCATGTGTTTTGTTTATGTTCCTACATGTATAGATGTCCCTTTTCGGGAGCTCGAATCCCATGGGTGTTAGGTATGTTCTTATCGATTGCCCACTTCCTGTGGCTCGAATTCGATGTGTTTTGCGTATGTTCCAATAGAATGCCCCGTTCCTGAGGCCGACCGTGTGTTTTACTTCTGTTCATATCGATTGCCCCTCTCCTGGGGCTCGAGACCTACCTTGTGGCTCGAAGCTTATGCGTTTTACAAATATTATTTTTGCTGACCGGTCTCCTGGAGCTCGAACACTACGTGTTTTACGGATGTGCCTATCGTTTGCCCCTCGAATCATATGTGCTTTTACGTATGTGCCTGTAGATTGCCCCTCTCTTGTTGCTTGGGTCGTATGTGCTTTACATATGTGTATAGATTGCCCCTTCCCTGGGGCTTGAATCTTGTGTGCTTGCGTATGGTTCACGTATGTGCCTATAGATTGCCCCGGCTCGAACCTCCAACCAGGCATTTTCACGCATGTGCGTATAGATTGCCCCTCTCCTGTGGCTTCAATCCTATATGTTGTTTCGTGTGTGCCTCTAGACTGCCCCTCTCCTGTGGCTCGAATTCGGTGTGTTTTACGTGCGCGCCTCTGGGCTACCCCTCTCCTGTGGCTCGAGCCCAACGTGTTTTACGTATGTGCCTATACATAGTGCCCCTCTCATCCGGGTCGAATCACACGTGTTTTACGTATGTGCCTAAAAGGTTGCCCTTCGCATGCGGGTCGAATCGCGTGTGTTCCGTATATGTCTGTGGATGGCCCGTCTTTTGTGGCTCGAATCCAACGTGGTTTACGTATGTGCCTACAGATTGACACTTTTCTTTGGGCTCGGATTTTGTGTGTTTTATATGTGCGTGTGGCTCGAATCCTACGTGTTTACGCATGTGCCTATAGATTGCTCCTCTCCTGTGGCTTGAATCCTGTTGTGAGCGCGTGTGTGTGTGTGTGTGTGTGTGTGAGTGTGTGTGTGTGTGTTTACTTATGTGCGCCTATGTCCCGTCTGCTGTGGCTCGAATCCAATTGGGTTTTACGTATGTGCGTATAGATTGCCCCGCCCCTGCGGCTCAATTCTTGTGTTTTACGCATGTGCCTGTAAAGTGCCTCTCTTCTCTCCTGTGGCTCGAACCCTACGTGTTTTACGTCTGTGCGTATGTATACATATATATATATATATATATATATTGCCCTTCTCCTGTGGCTCGAATCCAATGTGTCTCCCCATGCCTCCCTGGGCCCCAGGACGGAACGCTAACGTTTGTGTGGTTCCGTCGCGAAACCTGGACGTGGACGGCGGCCAGCATGAATTTTGAGATTACGCAAGAATGCTGGCGAATGGACTTCCTGTTGGCCACGGGGGGCTCCTGCGGGTTCAGCTCAATATCCACGACCTTCACAGGAGCGCCGCGTACCACTCGGTGCAGCAAGTAAGAATCCGTGAGTACCATCTCCATGCTCACGTACACACGGAGGACGCCGGCGAGCTTGGCGGTCGAACCGATGTTGGCGCAGGCGCGCATGTCGCCGTAGTCTTCATGGGCGAGCCTAGCGGATGGCTTGTCGATTGCTAGAAGTAGGGGAGTCTGCGCCTGCGCGCGCTTGGCGTTCAGTCGCGCGTGCACGTGCATGGCGAACGACGCCCTGCGCCACTCGCAGTCGCACTCGTACAAGCCCCGCGCAACACGGAGTCGAGGATCATCTTTATGTCTGACTGTGGCTTTCAGTTTGGCCCAGACGTCGTCTCTGACTTGTTTGCCGCTCGTTGCCCGCATGGCCTCGAGGGTGCGCAACAGGTCAGGGTCCTCGAACCGCTTCGCGCTCGCGAAGTCGAGCACGTTGGGGATGTTCAGAAGGAACTTCCAGGCTGAGTGCGCGCCCCGCGTGAAGTGAGAAGCTCTCTCGCGCGGCGAACACCCTCGCGCGCCTCACTGGCGCGCCGCCCGCGAAGGTGGCCGCGCGCTCCGGACCCCCGTTCTTATTGAGTCGATGGATTATTGTTTGCCGCGATGCTTGTTAGCTCGCCGGCTGAGGCGCGCCGTCTTGCGCCCCCTCCTGCGTCGGTTCCGCGCCGTGTTCTCGCGGCGCTGCTCAAGTTGCTCAGCATGCGCCGCCTCGCTTGTCTCGCGGCCTTCCCGGCGATCTTGCCGCCGCTTCGCTCGGGAGATCACTTCCTTCGGCCACCAGACGGCAGAAGCGTTCTCCAACGATTTCGACAACAAACTCCCGCTGTTGAAATCATGTTCGGCGCCATCCTGAGACGATCGTGCATTTTGATCTACTATCATCAGCCGGGGATACCACGTATTAGATGCTATTGTAGCGTTTTGCTGGGGTACTTCTGCATCCGCCAAAGGATGTCCTAGCGGGCCTAGATACCCCAAGTGGCCCCGTCGTGTGATGCGCAATCAGAGACCAGACAACTTGACTGACACGTGTGGCTACGCAACGAAAAAGGTGTCGTGTAATTGAACGCCCCCGACGGGCAGACCGCCGCCCCCTGTTTTTGGAGCGCGGTCTTTTCGATGCAAACATGGGAGGTCGGGAATCCCGCAACTGGACTCGGCAAGGCTCGCTGTAGACATGACCTTGGTGCGACCCCAATTCAAGTAACATTCCCTTTTGCATGGGTACGGTGTTGGGCATTGCCTGGCGATGCTTGGCATTGCTTGGCATTGTTTGGCATTGCTTGGCATTGCTTCGTATTGCTTGGCATTGATTGGCATTGCTTCGCATTATGCCACATTCTTGTCCTTGCTTCGCATTGCTTGGCATTGTCTGGCATTGCTTGGCATTGTTTTGGGAACCTGACAAACCCGAAGAACCCGGGGAACCCAGGGAACCCGAGGAACCCGAAGAACCCAGGGAGTCCGAGCAGCCTTGGGAACCCGAGAAACCCGGGAAACCTCCGAGCAACGGGCAACGTAAGAATCCGAGGTATCAAAACCCTTTAGGCAAGCCTGGCAAGCCGAATTGGGGAAGAAGCGGACCACCTAAGCAGCACTTGATCACAGACCCGCGGCGGCCCCAAAATGCGCGAGCAGTTACCGAGCACCTGCTTCCTGGAAGCCGTTGAAGGCCCCGACAAACCGCCAGGACGGCCGCAGAGAGGCCAGAAAACGCCGATAACCGTCGGGCTCGGCCCGAAGACGGCGCCTGGGGGGGCCAGAGAGGGGTCCCAAAATTGACCAGGATGGGTCGAGTGTGGCGGAGTGAGGTGACAGAGGGGAACGGGAAGGGTGGAAAAACATCCTGACTAAGTTATTGGCTCCTGGAGGAGCTTCCAATGGATCTGGGGGCGCCCGGGGCGACGAGAATAGCTGCCGAGAAGGCGCCCAGAGAGCTCGGGGGGGCCCGAGATGCAGTCAGGACGGCCGCAGAGAGTATCCGCATATTCCAAGATCGAAAGGACAGCCACATGCAGGGGAAGTCCAAGAGATGCACAAGGAGAAACCCGAGATGGCTGGAATCTTCGAGGTATCATGCGTGTCTACTAGATTTGGTTTGCTCATCGAGCCGTGCAGGTGTTTTGGACCCGAATGAATGCGGAAAAGGTATCCAGAACGGCCCAATGTGGCCCGAATCAATAAGGAATGATGGCACGATGAGCCCTGGAGGGCTCCGACAGGCCCCCCAAGAACCGTCTTGGGAGGCTCCAGGAGAGGTTTCGGAGAGGGCCCGGCGGCGCCCAGAAACTTTGCACTTTCGGCCACGCGCAGAGAGCAAGCTTTAAGTCGTCGTCGTCGTCGCCTTGTCGTCGCCTCGTCGCGTCGTCCTCGTCTCAGCTTCTCACTGCCGGAGAGATCGGGCACGCGCAGAGGGGGGCAGGGGGAGGGGGGAGGGCTTCTTAGAAGCACCCCTGCTTCTCAGAAAGCGCGGGCCTCGTCTGTAGATGCAGGGAGGGCGTCTTCCGAGGAGCAGCCTCCTTCGAAGAAGCCTCCCCTCCTCCCCCTGCCCCCTTGGAGGCGCCGCCGACACCTAAAGCAAGGGTCGCTCCTGGGAGAGAAGTATTGTAGCCAGAGGGCGCCCCTGCCGCACCAAAAAGGCCCTCGGGCCGGCAGAAAGAGCGGTCCCAGGGGGGACCCAAATTTGGTTCGTCAGGCAATGGCGAGGCGTCTTGGCTGTCCTATAGGTCCACCAAAGAATATTCTAAGAGCCTTTTGTGGTTTGCTCGAGGTTTTCTTGGAACATTTCTGGCTGAGACCGTTCCTTTTTAATGCATTGCCTTTATGTTCTAAGGATGTTGCTTGTGTTATTAGAACACTCTTTGGTTCTAGGAACATCCCGTGGTAGGCCTATAGGAATGCCTGGACGGCCGTTCCCTGCTCAAGTTCACAGAGGTTCACGAGAAAGTTCGCTGGTGAGAAGACTCGCGAGAAACAGTCCTTGCGGGTCGTGCGGTGGTGGTCTCACACGCCGTACCCCGTGGGGCGGCGGATCGACTCGCTCATACCGCCGGCCCATATTTGCTGGCCTTCGGACCATCCCATCACCGCGCCTGAGTGGTAGGTCTGAGGTCTCTCGAAGGTTCGTCGGAATGTTTTCAAGGCCTGTCGGGGGCCTTCTGGATGCAGTTATGAAAGACCTTTTGAGGCTCTTTTGGGTCCTCTTGGGAGCCTCCTGACGCCTCGTAGGGGCCTCGTGGGGGCCTCTTGGGGGCCTCTTGGAGGCATCCTGGGGCCTTCTGGATGCCTCAATGGGCTTCTGCATGCCCTCTTGATGCTTCTTTTTCGGTCCGTATTCGCCTTTTTGGACCCCTCTTGTGGCCGTCTTGGGGCCCCCTTGGGCCGTCTTGGGCGCCTCTTCCGTAGCCATTGTGGCTCAAGATGTCTTACTGAGAGGGCCGTTGCCCTTGGGGACGACAATTCGCGGCATTCAAAGCGAGCTCTCGCTTGGAAGCGGGGCGGCGGACCGAGATGGCTCCTCTTGCTGCCAGCGGTGGCATTGGCGATTGTGACGGCGGGAGCGGTGGTGGAGCACGAAGCCCGTGGCGTCAGACGCCGTGGGTCCAGTCATCGTGGTATAACGTCGAGAACAAACCAGTCAATCAACCGCCCCAGCTGGGGGCGAAGCGGAGCAGGCAGCGGGGTCAAAGTGTACTGTCAGAACCAGGATTGCGGCAAGTGGCTGTGGTCCGACAGGCTGGCGGACGTGGGATACCAAAGCAGATGCGGCGGGACCAAGTGGGGAAACGAAGCAGCACCGCGACATGGTCAGTACCGCGCGCACGCAGGCGACTACAGCAGCTACAAGGACGGGAACGCAACCCACCTGCAGTACGTACCTGGAGATGGCCGCGAAGCGCTGCGTGGGCGCAGACAAGGAACGTATCGAAGCGGTGCTCAACAGCTTGGCGCCGAAGCCAGGCTTCTCGCAAGCACCACAGCCAGGCACTCGAGCGGCACCTCGGGCAGCAGAGGACGCAGCGCAGAAGGCGACCAATGCACAGCAGAGGACATACAGGCGGCGGGAACAGCTCAAGGCAGACCTGGAGCAGGCGGAGGAGGACTTCCTCGAGCGTTCCGCCGAGGTGGCAGCAGCGGAGGACCGAATCAAGGAGGAGCTACGTCAGCACCCGCTGGGCACGCAGCGGGGCGAAGGTGGAGGTGCCAACAAGCCATCGCTGCCCATCGGTGCTTTGCTGGGCGACGACGACCTGAAGGTGGACATGGGAGAACTGTTGAAGCTGGGCGAGGAGGACGCCTTCATCAGCGCAGAAGACATCGCAGAGCTGGAAGCGAGGAAGGCCAACTTCGCGCAGGAGGCGAAGCAGGCGGCGAAGCAGGCATTCGCGGCAGCGGCCACCAAGCCCAAGGAGCAACGTCAACGAGAGCAGGAGTTCCTGGAGGAGCTCAGGGCCAAGAAGAAACGGAAGGTGGAGGAGTACGGCAAGGGAGCAGGCAAGGTTACAGCACCGCAGTCATGAGCTGCCACCCCAGCCGCTCTCGCAGGCAGCGCGTCGGGCAGCCAGCTATCAGGAGGCACGCCAGCAGGCGGCTGGAGGGTGCGCCGCTAGGGGCGAGGAGGAGGAGGAGCTGTTCGGAGGATGCCGCACCAGCGAGGACGATGGCACCGACGTGGAGATCGAGGAGCCGCGCGCAGTCGAGGTCGCAGCAGAGGCGGCTCTAGGGGGCGAGTCACCGCCATCCGATTACACCGGCGAGGAGCGCGAGTTGCCATGGCAGCTGCAGTTCGAGAACGCAACCAGCGAGAACAGGATTGCGCGGAGGCGGCCACCAGCCTACATGCAGGACGCAGTGGCCTACCAGTTCTGCGCAGAGGGCGCAAGGTCGCGCGGTCAGGAGCGCGGGGGGCGGGCGCAGGCGGTGCAGGAGTACTACATCACGCCGCTGAGCGCGGGCTTCGAGGAGCAGCGCAATTACAGAGGATGCGGCCAGGAGGTGAAGCTCGAGAAGGTTGCGTTCAAGCCGGGCATCGACGTGAAAGCCGACTGGGACCAGCCCATACAGTGGCGGGGCACGCTGGCGCCGCGGTTGGCGGAGTTGCAGCGCTGCGAGGGCAAGGGGCCCAGGGCGTCGAGGCTCGAGAACCTGCGCGGGAGCACGGCGGGCACCGCGCCGCTCAACGGAGGCATCGCCCAAATGACGCCCAGGCAGTAACGCAAGTGGAGCGCAACCCTGAACGGGGTCCGCGAGATGACGAGCGAGCAGCTTCGGCAGCTTGGGGCGGCCGCCCTCGCCACTGCCCGCCAGGGCAACCGCGCGGAGGCGAAGGAGGCGCTAGTGGGCTACGCCACCTGGGCGCAGGGGCAGGAGGCAACCGGGGCGGGCAAGCTCCAAAGGACAACGAGGGACCAGCCCAGGCGCGACAACGAGATCCGCATCGGGGACAGGGAGACCAGGAGCATGGCCGACTACATGGACGCGAAGGGCGCACAGTGGGCCGCCAAGTGGAGGAGCCAGACGAGCCGCGAGCAGCTGCTCAACGCTTTGGAGCTCGCGCGCAGGCTGCTCAAGAGGAGGACTGGGCACCCATCGCGGTTGAGTCGATGGGCCGCGCCATCGGCACCATATCGGAGAGCAAGGCGAATGGCGTCGAGCAGTTGGGGGCGCGCGCGTTCAAGTGGCTACCTCCCAGCGCGAGGAAGCAGCTCGTGCGGCTCATCATGGACGTGGAGACTCGTGGCACGTTACCATGGCAGCTCATGGTCACGCTGGTCAGCCTGTTGCGGCAGGACACCGGAGGCGACAGGTCGAACGGGTTGCTCCCAGAGGTTGTGAAGCTGTGGTCCAAGACTCGCGGCGAGTATACCAACGAGCGGGTCGTCTCCATGGCTCGCAAGTGGGGCGCAGCTGTGGCAGGCAACAGTGCCTTAAAGGAGGCGGTGGTCAGGCCCTTCGCCGACGAGGTCTTCGAGCGGGCGCCCCAGAAGATGTACGCGGCGACGGTGTTATGCGACCTGGCGGAGTTTCCACGACGCCCCAGAGCCGCTGCTGACCCTGGAAGAAGGTGTTCGGCTGGGGCTGCCGTCGCGCACTTTGCACTTTGATTGAGATGCTGAACCGCCGGCGCAGCCGCTCGGTCAGGGAGAAGCCGGCCTACGCAGAGCCTGTCGAGCCAGAGATGTCGATTTGCGCGGGAGCGAGAAGAGGCATTATCTTCGGCAGGTTCGCTTTGTGCGCTTCCTTGAAGAAGGTCCGCGCCAAGTGCCAGCAGGTGTGCGTCAAGTCGTGGGTCGACGACGTCACGGCGAGGACCGAGGGCTCCAAGGCGGGGGCGGCGCGGCAGCTGACGAGCGCAGGGGTGGATTTCGCAGCGGGGCGGAGCAGGCCAAGCTGGCGCTTTCCAGGAAGTCAGCGGCGATCGGCAAAGGCAAGGAGGTCACGCAGGAGATCGCTCCACGGTTGCGCAGTCGCAACATCACCGCCTCGCTGAAGGAGCAGGCGCCAGACTTAGGCATCGACAGGGGCAGCATTGCCAAGAGCAAGTTCAAGCGCGCCAGGCGGGTGGCGCACGCGGACAGACAGGTGGAGAAGGCAATGGAAATGTAGCGAGCTGGGCGGGGGGCCAGAGGAGGAGCTCGCGCGGCGGTGCACAGGGATCGTTGCCGAGGGCGGCGTGCGCCAGGAAGGCGTTCGGCAAGCCGATCAGGACGTGGATGAGGAGGCTGGGTACCGTAATCGCGCCCAGGCTGAGCGGAAGGTGCCCAACGACCCTCTTGCAGCTGGAGTTGGGGGGGGGCGACCCAGGCCATGGTGCGATCTTCGCGTTGCTCGACTCTTGGATGCACGTCGTCAGCGACCAGAAGAGGAGGAAGAAGGCGGTCCTGATTTGGGGGCGCGAAGCGTGGGCCAGGGAGTCGAAGAACGCTAGCGACCGCTGGAGATGTGCAACAGGAGTGGCACGCGCCATGGTGCGTCACCACCCACCAAACCACCCCAACCCAACCCGAAGGTTCAGATTTACATTCGATTTCCAGCGTGGGGGGGGGGGGGCGGGAAACATCGAACAAAATCACATATGGAACCTTTACCCCCCCCCAACCCGAAATTCGGGTCTTCGGGTTGGGTTGGGGTGGTCTGGTAGGTAGTCTGCGTGCACGCTGGTGAACCTGGGGTGGACGCCGCACGGCCCCTGGCATTGGGAGTCCGACTTCGGCGTGGAGTTCGGCGGAGCCGACGGCAGCGGCATCGACGCCGTCGCGGACACCAGCGAGCTGAAGATGGCCATCGCCGAGAGCATCGAGCGGGGACAGTGGAGCAAGGCTGCAGAGTTCCACGCAGGAGGAGGGCTTGAAGGAGGAGCAGATCTTTCATCGGCAAGGGCGTCGCTGCGCAGGCATCGCAAGCAAGGCAACTTCGAGAAGTTGGGGGCCATGGCCGCCATGTACACAGGTGGGGCGTGGCCGCGGCAGCGCGTCGCCGATTTGGGCTTGGAGACCGAGAGCATTTTATGCTCGAGGTGCGAGGGGGGCCCGAGACGTCGGAGCATCGCATGTGGGCGTGCAAGTGCAACGACATCATAGAGACCTGCGAGAAGACGAAGAGGCACCGGGGGAAGGCGGAGGAAGGCGCGGCGACAAAACCATGCTTATGGCTCAGGGGCATTCTGCCGAAGAGCTGGGCACAGGCGCAGGCGCCGCCAGAGCCGGGCGAGGAGCTGCGTGAGATCGCGGGGGGGCCCTATGCTCTTGAGGAGGGGGCGTGGGCGAACGTCGCTGGCGACGCTTCAGGAGGCAAACGCACGCAGGACGCGGGCGCGAGGAAAATCGCCTGGGGCTGGATACTCCTGAGCACCAGGGAGGGTGCCAGCAGGCACAGCGTGGGCAGCGCGGGCGGCATACCAGGGTGGCGTCAGGGTGTCAACAGGGACATATGGCACGTCACCGGTTCGGGTCACGCGATGCGAGGCGTGGCCATGATCGAGAGGAGGAGGATGCCGGAGACGCACAAGGACTTGTGAGGCAGGAACAGAAGAGCGTCGGTGGGGAGGCAGGTCGCGGTGGTCAAGGTCAAGAGCCACATGAGCATAGTCGACGCCGTCAACAACGGGGTGAACATGACGGGCATAGTGGGCAACCACCTGGCGGACGAGCTCGTCGAGGGCATCGTCGGCGAGGTGCAGGTGCCGTGGAAGTTTGCGGAGGAGGTGGCGGCGCAGAGCAGGAAGAGGGTTTACGCGACGCTGATGGCGGCAGCAGAGGCAGAGCCGCCACAGCCAAGGCCGACGAAACAAGAGCGGGAGAGGGCAAATGCGAAGCTCGAGAAGCGAGAGAAGATGATAAAGAGGAGCAGCCACGACGTCGTCGAGGACGGGGGCCGTCATCTGCGACGCAGACGGTGCGCCTCGCTGGTGGCGAGGCACAAGTGTGCGAGAAGTGGGTGGTGGGGCAGTGCTCGCCAACCAAGGCTGCGCAGACGACGCCGACAGGCGCAAGAGTTGCGAGAGGGCAGATCGGGGCGCAGAAGCCTCACCCCACGAACGCGACCGAGTTTGGCGGGGCGTTGGAGGTGCACTACTACACGATATGCGGCAGCATCGCCAGGGGGCGCATGAAGGATCTCGGCGAGCCCTGCAGCGGCCAGGCTACCAAGCAGGGCGCCATGAACCTAGCCAGGATCCTGATGGGGCTGCAGCCAGGCAACCCGCCGCTGGCGCAGGCGTACCACGCGGCGCGGACGAAGAGCACCAATAACGTGGAGGAGAAGGGCGGGCGCCAGGACGAAGTGGGACCTCCTGCCCCGCCGCCGGGGGTAACCACAGCGGCTATCTTGGAAGGTTACGTCGTGCGTTTTGCTGGCAGCAGTGCCTCGAGTCAGAACGCAGGGGGGCCTCCCGCCCCGTCGCTGGGTGTCGGGGCCAAGCCTCCGGAGGTCTCTGGTGGCGCGGTCTGTGGCCCAGCGGCTAATTCCAGAGGTTGCGTCGCCAGTTTTGCTGCGGAGCTGGAGCTTGTGTAAGATGGGAGCGAGGCCGACTGCATTGCGCCAATTCGGGCCGAGGAGACGGGCGCCGACACCGAGCGGAGTCCAGTTCGGCACGAAGGACCCACCTGCTAATCAGAGGAGGCACAGCGCGGAGGAGACGGGCGTCGAGCCCACGGCGAGCCCGAGCGGAGCGCGGGTCGACGCGGAGATGGGCGCGGATGTAGACTTACTGGCGAAGCAGGGAAGGCCCAGCGGAGCCGTGCAGAGCGGCGAGGTGCCGCCATCGAGAACGAGCCGAAGGCGGAGGCCAGCGGCGAGTTCAGCACGCCGAAGGGGCGCTGCCGCTTGCAGCGCAGATCTGCCCCAGCCTGGGGCGTGGCTGCCCGCTGGAACCGAGCCGCAACAAAAAAATTGGGGACGCCTCTTTGGCTGTCTTGGGGCCCGATTGGTTGGGTGCCTCTTGGGGGGGCCTCTTGGGGCGTCTTGGAGCGTCGGAAGCTCGAAAAAATAGAGAACCCAAAAACCGCTGAGAAGCCGAAAGACAACCCAGGATTCTGACCTCTCGGGGCCCTCTTGGGAAGTCTCTTGGAGGTATATTTGGACATCTTGGGCGCTTTTGCGGCCGACTGGAGGCCGTCTTGGGCATCTTTGACCGATCGTTCAGCGATTCGGGGCCACTTTGGGTCCAGAACACCGCCCCAGTGAGTTTTGGCACCGGGGGCGTGCCAAAAGAACGTGGAAACGACGTGAGGAGCCAGGTGGAGGAGGAGGAGGGAGGGGGATGGAATGGGCCTCGGAATGGGAAGGGGAAGAAAGAGGAGTGAGGTCGAGGAGGAGGCAGTGAACATGAACAGCAGGAGGGACGAGAGACGAGCAGTTGCAAAGCAGACGGGCGGACGATACCAGGCTTGACACGCAAGCCGCGTCCAGTTGCACGACCGCGGGACGAGGGAAGAGGGCAGGAGAAGGAGCAGGAGGAGGGTGAGGGGGGGGGGGATGATTGGAGGAAAGGCAGGCGGGGAGGAGGACGGTGAAGAATATGCATACGAGGAGGATTGAAGGGGAGGGGAAGGGCAGAGAGAAAGAGAGGAAGGAGAGGCCGTTCACCGGCAAGATGAGGAGAAGGAAAAGCGAGGCAAGCCAAGCGGCCTTCAAGCTTCCTTCGCTGGTGGCGCGTGCTCCCTGATCTTTCGGTTTGCTCGCAGTGGTGCTCGTGGCATTAAACCCGGGATATTGTCGTCATGATTGACCGGCTCTATTGTCTCATCACACCGCGACATGCGTGTGAGTGTGTGTGCGATTGCGCGCGCGCGTGCCTTGCGCTGCTAGTGTCCTGCACATATCGTGTTTATCTTGCGTGTGTACCCCTGCCGCTCGCTCGGATCGCCCCATCGGCCGCGATTGCACGACTGGGCTCGAAATGTTCCACGGCACGCGCAGATGCAATCGATGCTTGCGTCTCCCGCAAGCATACGGCGCGATAGTGATGCGCATCGCCGGAGTAGAACAAGTGTTCCTTGCACTGGCGCCTGCAGAGTCTGGTGCCACTTGCTGCGCACGAAGTGCCATGTCCTAATCGCTACCGTTTGCGTGCCCCACTGCAGTTTTTCCCGCGCGGACCACCTCACCGCGGTGTAGGCTACGCATCGTGTATATGTGTGCGCGCGCGTCGGAGACAAGATCGTGTATAGGACTGCGCGCTTGGCTTACAGAGGTGTTCCTTGGTCCCACAGCGAAGCGCCCCGAAGATGATCGGATCATCTTGGCTTCGCCAATTGCTCAAGGTTGCTCTTAGCGGTATACCGACTGTAGCGTGATTGTGAACATGCAAGTTCTCACACACACACAATCATCGAGCTTAACGCCCTAGCTACATTGTACCCCTACTTGACTAGCCTGCTTAAGCCTACACTTGCTTACTGTAGCCGTAGATCGACTCATCTAGACTCTGAGACGTGCCTTCCATTCACCTGGCTAGCGCACAGGAAACCAGCGTACCTCATTATGGCTGGGTTCAGGGCTGGGTATATTTCGGGACGCATGAGCATACGTTGCCTTTGCTCTTGGCCACGCGTTGGTCTTTTGCTTTATCGTACAGCGCACCTGGACTTGTCATAAGTGTTTGCTGTCCGGGTCAAAACGCTAAGGCATTATTTTGGAGGCCATCGGTACAACCAAGCCATTCAAGGTATTGGCATCCGTTGCTTATCGTCCTGTCCCCGACCGGCGCTTGGCGTTGGGCTTGGCGTAGGGCTGGGGGTCGTGCTGGGAGTGGGGCTGGGCGTGAGGCACTCCAAGAGACGGCCTTGGGCGAGGAGGGCGTTGTTTCTGGGGGCGCGAACCGAGGCCAAGGGAGGCGGCCCGGGCGTGCTCATTCCGAACTACGTGCCCAGGGCTCAGCGCTTTCCGCCAGAGTGGGCTTTGACCGCGGTCGCTTCGTTCGGTCGCAAGATCGGCCTCACCCGGCGACGTGGTTCGAAGAACAAGAAAAACATCAGCAATAATTTCTCTGAGCTCCGCGCGGATTTTTTGGCTCGGCGCTGGGCCCTCCTGGCGGCGCCGCCGGCGCCCCTGGCGCGCTCCGCGCGTCAGGGAGGAGGGCCCAACGCTGATCCAAGAAATCCGCGCGGAGCTCCGAGAGATTATGCTTGTGCCGTTCTTCGTTCCTCTGGTGGTCGGCATGGTTTGCTCGCGCTGTCGTTTTGCGATCGGCGCGGTCCTCGGAGCCGCGAGTCCGGGGCCAGAGCTTGTACATGGCCTCTGCCTGCGGAGCCCTGGAGTTTGGATCGCCAGTACGACAGTTATTTCCGAGGCCTCGATCTCAAATGGGCAGATGTGACACAAGACAGGGAAGCGTGGTTTTCCCATCGCAAAGATTGGATAAAGCACTTGCTCTGGTTCCGTGTGAGGCGCAGTAACGCAGTTTGAATGTTGTCGAGTCCTGTGACGTATTGTAGCGATTTTCCTTGTCGTTCTTTTTCTCATTGATTGTGCTGTAGGCGGTAGGAGGGCCACCTCGCAGACACTGCTTTAGATTAGACTGGAGGAGCAGTGGATGTTGATATGTTCGAGGCCAGAGGGGCCCTGGGGCCCTGAGACATCGGTTCCCCCGGCGGGATACTCTCGAGCCCCAGGGGGGCAAAAGTGTATCCACGTCCTCTGCCCCCTCACGCCCTGAGGCATCGCTTCCCCCGGCAGTGGATATGTACACATCCTCTCCTCGTACGATCGCGCAGATTATGATCTGGAAGCGAAGGTCTGGCATCAACAGCTGCCGCGATCCAGGCGCGCACCCGACAATGATGTGCTGCCCAGACGAGTGCGAGGCCGAAATATTGCCGCGCCTGGAGGCCGCTTCAGCAGGGCCCCGCATCGCGCCGAAGCAGGTGTGGGCCGTGCTGTCCCGCCTGATCAAGGCTTCGCACCGAAAGACAGAAGTCGATGCTGCTGTTTCTGAAGTTATGGGGCGGTTCTGGATTTCTCCTCGCCACGGGTGGACGCAGCTCGAAAAGTTGGCCAGGATGGATCCCGGAATGGATCCAGAGATTGCTTGTTTGGCCGTCTTTATAGCCCAGTCTAGTTGCTGGAATTCCAAAATACCAGGAGGTGGGCTTCAGCGGCTCCGCTCACGTCACTCCCTCCTCTTCCCGCCTCCTCCTGCTCCCCCTCCACCTTTAGTCTCTCGGCGGACGGCGACGATGATGCCCAGGGAAAGATCTCGGAAAGGCGCAGGTACAGCCAAGACGCTGAAAGCAGGATCACGCTGTTTTCAGGAGAGGCTCGGATTCTCGGGCCGTTCCCCTGAGTGCTGTCGTCGAAGTCGTCGGTGGCCGAGGCCCGCCGTGGCCAGGAAAGCCATTTCGCGCCTCAGCATCCGTTCCTTTTGTCAGGAGCGAAAGAAGGACGTACACGTACGTTAATCCACGCTGGTTTCGAGAGTGCGCATTGCGCAAATGCCCGTATGACGCGGCTGGTCTCGCGGGTCGAGGGGCCGTGTTAACGTACATAGTTGGGCGCGTACGTCCTTTGTGTGCTCCTCATTCTGATGGCACGACGACTGCATCTGGACAGCTGAGCATGCCCTCCTGTTCGCCTTCTGCGTCCCACCCCCGCTTCCCTAAAGCAGGATGGCGGCCAAGGGATGCCAGGGGGGGGGGGCCTGTCGCGCCGCAGCTCCCCAGGGCGATGATCCATCATTTGGGTCCCAGGCCTGCTCTTGGGCGTGGGCGTCGCCGTGAGTTATGGTAAACATTTGACCCAGGGCTCGAGCTAAACGGTGATGTGGCGATTTCGTGGACGGGTTTCGTTTTGATGTTGTTTCGCTGCAAAGGCAGAGCGAAGACAGAACGAAGGACAACGGAAACAAAACGAAAACTAGAAGCACTGTTTAGCTCGAGCCCTGCTTTGACAGTCCTGCCCACAATCTGTCACAGCGGCAGGGGACTAACGTTTGAAGTGTTGCCAATCGCTTTTCGGAAAAATGGATTCACCTCCCCCCTGTCCGCCAAACCAGAGTGTCCAGGATACATGGTGTTCGATCTCCCGTTCAGGGAGACAAGATGGTCTCGGCCGACAAGCGCAGGGACCTGCACTCTGAGCTGCACGCCCTGGGACTCAGGTCTTCCGGGCGCAGTCACTGCAGGGTCCATGTCGATCCGACCGATCCATTCGAAATCGATTCTGACCAGCCCGATCCGATTCGATCCTGGTATTTCGACGATCCGGTGCGGCCCGATGATTACATGACGCTGTTGTGCATTTTGGCGCGGCTGATCTGATTCGAGTCGGTCTCCGTACCGATCCAGCCCGATCCGACACGCATTTCGACTCGATCCGAGTTCTCGATTCGGTAATGATTGATCCTGTCAGTGCAGGGGGTCGGGTGCAGCAGCTGATGGGGTGAACGCAAGATCCGATGTGTTGTGGCAAGGAGGGCGGTCTGTTCCGTCCACCATGGGAAATGTTTGCTGCGCATTACTCCCAGGGCGCACCCCTTTGTTTCGGCTGGGAGAGGGGAACCTGTGGCCCGTATTTGGCGCCATGAAGACCGAAGTTGCGGTAAGCATGCTACAATCACACGAATACCTAAAGAGCATCAGTGCTTGTTGCCTCGTGGATTGTTTTGTGATTTCTCGGTGCGCCGTTGGCCGTGTTTGGGGCCGGCTCGGCCGTCGACCAATTTTCTTGGGCCCATGTTGGGCAATAGTTGGTGCTACGTTTAACGCGATTTGACCGTATTGAACGGCTCATCGGGCGCTTGTAGGGCGTTCTGAGGTTTTCTGAGATCGCATTGGAGCTATATGGAACCGTCGTGGGCTCATCCACGGCGTCCCGTGCGTGTCTCGCTGTATCACAGATCGTCGGACGCACCGCTAATTCGCTAGACAGATGCTTGGAGAGAAACTTTGCCGATTCGATTCTAAATCATCGCAATCCGAAAGAGCTGCGCCCCCAATCCCATTATCACCCGAAGGCTGTTTTACGAGTGCAATGCGTGTACAGATATTGATATACATATACACATACAGTTTCAATAGCACACGACTGCGCATCAAATCCGCATCGACTGCACCAACTGTTGACCAGTCGGGTGGGATGGTTTTCTGCAAATGCTTTCCGCCCTTGTGTTTGGTATGGTTGTGGTTTCGAGCATGTTGGATTTGCTGTTGTTACGTTGCAGGGGGGTTGAAACATGTAGGCGTCAGGTGTTTTGTGTGCACTTCACCGCCAGAGGCGATACACACCACATGTATACAGTGTGTTGTAGCGTGCGTGTGTGGTACATCGTGTTGTGTTGGCCGCCATTGTCGACCACAACCAGCATCGCATGAATCGGTGACCATGTTGGTTCAAGGTATTTGTGCTCGAACCTTTCTGGACAAGACCGCTTAAGAGGTCAATCGCACAGTCCAGATTCACAGAGGCGCGCGCAAAGACGATGTCGTTTGTTTCAGGTTGCGCGGCGGGTGTGCACAGGTCGCTGTCGGTTGCTTCTGATTGGTTTCGTGCAGTCACGAAGGCCAAGGGGCGACCAGAACGGACAGCTGCCACATTGTTGAGCACCAGGTCTCAGACCAGGGAGGAATGGAGAGCAGAAAAGGGCGCAGAGCGCAATGCACCACAAAAGGCTACGGAACGAGTCCTGCCTGGGGGCGATGGCGTATCGGAGGAGAGCACGGAATGCAGGACATGCGAGAAGTTTGACGGTCAAGTCTGCCCTGACGGGGGCAGCGTATCTCGAAGAGCAAACAAATGCATAATCATAAAAGTTTCGGAGTTCCACGCGGATTTCTCGGATCGGCGTTGGACCCCCCTCCTTGGCGCGCAAGGCGCGCCAGGGGCAGCGACGGAAGGGCCGCCAGAGGGGCCAAGCGCAGATCCAAAGAAAGCCGCGCGGACTTCCGAGAGTGCATGGTCATGCCGCTGTTTGTTTCCCTGGTATCGGATAATCCCGTGCAGACAGCACAGGCGGAGGATCCAGCTGACCGCTTTTCAGAGTACCTCAGGACCCAGCAACGCGTCCTCCTGATCGGGCCGGGCTTCGGCTCCTGGAGGCAGCCGTACGTCGACGCGTTGCAGGCCGCTGGCTTCCAGCTGACTTGGCTTCCGAATTTGCCAAACCCCGAGGTGCCAGATTTTCCCATGATGCAACACCTCGGAAGGATAAGAGAGGCTATCCAGCTGCCTGCGATATGTCCCGCCACCGTGCAAGCGAAGCATTCTGGGTGGCGACTATTCGGGGAGGCGCAGGTGGCCGTCACGTGTGACCTTGCGGGCCTCTTGAAGGCTTTGAAGGCCTGTTGGGTTTGGAGTCCCCCTGGGAGCCTCTTGGGGGCGTCTCGGGGTCTCCTGGGGGATCCTTGGGCCGTGTGAGGGTGCTCTGCCATCTGGGCGCATTCGGAGTCTGTCGCGGGAGGCAAGCTGGGTCGTCTTCGTCTTGGGGCATTCTCAGGGACCTTAAGGGCCGTATGAGGGCTCTATTTGGCCGACTTGGGGACCTCCTGGGTTGCCCTTGGTCCATATTGGAAGCTTCTTGAGACCCTATTAAGGTCCTAATGGGTCATCTGTACTGACCTGGTGGCAGCCCGGCAAGGTGAGAATGAGACAATCCATCATCGGGCCCTGCGGGAGGTTCTCTTAGAGCCCACTTGGGCCGTCTCGAGAGCCTCTGGGGCAGCACCTTGGATGTGTTTTAAAGACGCTGGGGGCGTTTTGCCTTTTTCAAGATCGACGTTTTTGTTATGTTACTTGGTCAGTTTGTTTTCCGTTTGGCGATTGCCGTCTCGCCGTTTTTGGTTCGTTTTGCGATCCGGTTCTTAATTGAATTTCATTGTAGTTTGTTTGTTGGTTTCCGTTTCTGTTGATTGTTTTTTTGATTGGGTTGCCGTTTTTTGACGGTTCTGGGTTGTTGCTTTCCGCCCGTTCTGTGTCTGGCGGGTGTCGGTTTGTTATGGTTTGGGTTGCCGTGTTTTCTTGCTTTGGTCGACCGCAACGCGAAACCATGAATACTAAAAAAACACCCCCAGCGTTTCCAATGACAATTCAGGGCAGCACTGAGGCCATCTTGGAGTCATCTTGGCCGCATCTTGGCGGCCTTGGTGGCTTGCCTGGGCCGTCTTGGAAGACACCTTGGGTATCTTGGCCGCCCTCGAGAGCAGCAGGGAGGCGTTGATGTGCCCAGGCAGCCCCGGGTGGGGTGGGGATTCATGCAGCGGTCTGCGGCCGGGAGGGGGCGCAGGGCCCTTAGAAGATTCCAGGGACCCCGGCAGACAGCGCTCGGCATTCTACCACGCCTCAACGTGCCAGGGGGCACGGTGGCGGATCGAAGCATACCGCCCTCATCTGATTGTGTCTTGGTGGAGGGGCGGTGCCTACGTGGCAGCGTTGTGGTCGGTGGGCCTGTGGAGAGGGCCCACGCTCATGATCAACAAGCACCCGGCCGTGGCCACGCTGCCGAAGGACGCCAGCATCGTCGTGGCACACGATGGGCGTGACCCGTATCCGCTTGCGCCGCCGCGCGGGCCCGCCCCCGCGATCCAGGAGGAGCGCCTGGGCGTGGAACCCGCGATTAGCGATCCCGACTGCTTGTGGTGCGCTGTTGATGGGCCGTCGCCATTATCACATCGAGCGGCGCAAGAACTGGGTCGCTTGCGCCGACATTCGCGCGTACGCTGCCCGCGTCAGGTCGCGTATAAGCGCCCTCGTCTCCAGTGTGGTGTGCCGCGCTGGCGGCCCGCGTGAACCGCCGCGTAAGGTCGCCATGCCATCTCACGCAAGACACCTTTCTTTTCGTCGCTCACGTGCTCGTGTCGCGACAAAAATCACGACCGGCAGTTTTCGGCAGTTTTCGGCCCTCCAGGGGCCCTCGCCAGGCCCCAGAGACCATCAAAAAGCAACGCGGGATGAACCTAGGCCTCCTAAATTGGGTGCGATTAGATGGGGTCGGAGGATCGCGCCGCGTCGGCGATGCATCGCCGATGCGGCTTGATGTGAGCCAGAGTTTCTGCTCGCCGACGTCGCCGATGCATTGCCGACGTCGTCGATGCATCGGGGATGCATCTGCGAAGCATCGCCGATGCGGCGCGATCCTCCGACCCCATCTACTTGGACCCCATTGGGAGGCCTCTAATGAAAGACCAGTCCCGAGGAAGAGGGTCGTCGGGACTTCCTGGGACCTTCGGGTCGGTCGACGCGGGGTGGGGCATTTGTTTCGCACTGGGCCCCTGGACCACATGAGCGGCACAAGAAAACGGGGTCGTTTGCGCCGACATTCTCGCGTAAGCTGCCCGCGTACGGTCGCGCGTAGGCGCGCTCGTCTCCACGACAGTTTGCCGCGCTGGCGGCCCGCGTGAGCCGCGGCGTAGGTCGCCATGCCATCTTGCGTAAGACTTGTTTCTGATCGTCGCCCACATGTCGATCCCATTCTAAGAGTGCCGCAGAAAGATTAAGTCTAGGGCTCTGGTCATGATTTTTCGCGATGCTAACGTGTGTTTGCTGTGACCAGAGCTCGCCCTCAAGCCCCAGGAAGTCGCACACTTTCGACTTGCCTAGACGCGAGCGTGACGTCGCTTGTTCCTGGTACCTGGCAGGCCGACCTACGAGGACATGTCGCAGTTTGGCATCCCCGGGATCATTGCCGGAAAAGTGGCTCATTGCAGAAGACGCCGATGACCGTAACGCTAACAGGTATCGGTGACGAAAGTGTGGCTCTAAATTCGGCTAGCTGGAGAGACAGCGATGGTGCGTCAGCACTCCTTTTGCAGAGCAACGCCGATGCGGACCACACCCCTGACAGGCCCCTGAAGCGGAGCCCCCAATCGGAGAACTCGCTGTCGCAAGCAGCACGCCATGGTCGGATCTCGGGGCCCCGTCCGCTCCTCTCGCCAGGGCCTCGCGCTCGATCCGCCCGTCTCCCTCCGCCGCCTCTCCGGCGTGCGCGCCGCGCTCGTCGGCCCTTCGCGCTCCGCCCCCTTTGCCGCGCCGGTGCGGCCCCCCCTTTGTGCGCTCCCCGCCGCGCCCTGCCCCCGAGGTCGTCCCCTCTGTGGCTGCTCCTCCGCTCGTCCTGGAAGCGACTGGGGGCCCGAGGTGGCCCAGTGCTGGTTCCGGTCAGCAGGAAGGGGGGATGGAGGTTCTCGAGGTTCGAGAGGTTTTGTTTGCCTCTTCGGTCTCCTGGGCTCGCTTTCGGGCCCGAGGACCGTCGAAACCGGATCCGGGGGTGAACAAGTGCACCAGATGGACCCCAGCAGGGGTCCAGGCGGTCCAGGGACCGACGGTTTTGCCCTTATCCCCTCGTCTTGACCGATTGCGGAGGCCTTACGGCCGGTGCCGCCGACCCTGAAGGGGGACGACGACAACGGCGGCGGCGACGACGACGACAACGCCGACATGGGCCAGAGTTTTGAGGGATGCTTCTTAGGGTCTCTTCGGAAAGGCTCTCGGGGGCCCTCTGGGGAGGAGTTGGGGGGGGGCCTCTTGGGAGCCTCTTGGGGGCCTGACCGAGTGAACCCCTTTCAGCCCAGGCGGCCGGCGGCGCTACCATTAGAGGTCATGCGGGCTGAGGGAGCCTGCGACGGGTGTGCCGTGATCAGATGTATAAGTCTGAGGACACATCCTGCGTGACGGAGCATATGCGTAAGGCATCTTGCAGGAGGGAAACAACACACAGACACTATTAATCGTCGATTCCCCAGAAAATATACGAAAATATGGGAAGTGGGGGGGAAAACAGGAACCCAGAAAATATAGGAAAATATTGGGAATCTGGCTATTTGTGTCTATTTATTTGTGTGTCCCCCCAGTTCCCATTCAATCAGATGAATAAGTCGGAGGACACATGCTACGTGACGGAGCATATGCGTAAGGCAACCTGGGCTTTCTTGCGCAGGCGAGCCCTCCCGTCGACCTCTGCGTCCTCTCTCTTCTCCCCCCCGAAAGGCCCCAAGAGGCTCCTAGCTTCTTCCTCCTCCTCCTCCTCCTCCTCCTCCTCCTCCTCCTCCTCCTCTGCCTCCCATTCCTCCTCCTCCTCCTCCTCCTCCTCCCATTCCTCCTCCTCCTCCTCCTCCTCCTCCTCCTCCTCCTCCTCCTCCTCCTCCTCCTCCTCCTCCTCCTCTCGGCAGGAGGCCTCCGAGAGGCCCCTAAAATACATCCCAGAGGCCCTCGACAGGCACCTCAATATACTCAAGCATGTTGCATACCAGAGCGTCCCCCCTCCCCGCCTCTCGCCAGCGCGAGCGAGCGCACGGGGCTTGCCATGGTTCGTGCCCGACTCGAAAGACAGGCGGATGTTCAGTCGATCTCTCCCTCTCTTTACGGGCGATCCGCGCTGGCTCGTTCGAGTTGTCGAGTCGGCCGCGTAAGTGGCGAGTGCACGCTCGTAGCTTCAAGCACGTGGTGGCCCCCTGGATGAAACTCCCCACGGACCATCCGCGCGGGCCCGTTCGAGTTGTGGAGTCGGCCGTGCGAGTGGCGCTTGCGCGCTCGCAGTTCCAAGAACGTGGTGACCCGCGGGGGTGGACAGACCTCCTACCCTGACACGTGGATTAAGGAATTGGCCGTTTTCGGTTCGCGAGAGGGCGCCGCGGCCGTCATTTTTGCGGGTCCAGGTCCGTCGGCTTCGGTCCCAGGCCGTTTTTCGCTAAGGGGAGGTTTACTAAAGGGAGGTTTGTCCACAAAAACAGGTCTCGGGGGCCAGTTGCGGTCTTGCTCGACCGATCTTCTCGGGGCCCCTCCGGCTCGGCCCCCCCAGCCGCCCCCGGCGTTCGCCTCCCCTCTCTCGGCTACCTTCGAAGAGGGGGCGCCTGCGCGGGGTGGCTCCCTCTGTGGCCCTGTGCTCCTCGCCGGGCCGCCTCTCGGCGGCCTCGGCGGCGTTCTGGGCGCTTCTTTGCCTCTCCAACTGCCTCCGGCGTGACGCCAGGAAAAAACACCAGGTACGCTTGTTGCGCGGAGGGCGGAGAGGCGCCACGAGTTGGCCCAGGAATGAGCACGTGAGGCCCAAACCACAGTTCGCCAAGGAGATTCGCAAGTGAGGGCCCGACCCAAGCACACAGGCACACACTTGCCAGGTAGCGAACGAAGAATGTCGCAGCTTCCAGGGAGGGCAGCGACTAGGGCTAACCCAAGTAAAACACACGCACACACACACACTAATCGCTACAAGCGCGGTGGCGGACTACAAGGTCCAGCGGGAGGATTTGGAGGCTCTTATCCGCACCGGATCCGCCAACCGCTGCTTGCTCTACAACGAGTGCCTCTGCGAGTCTTGCACTCGTGGCCAAGATTGCCTAGCCCAGCTGTGTGACGCTGCCATCTCCCCCGATGACCAAGGGCCCGAGATGCAGCTCGCTCGATCGTGGATAGCAGTGCTCGGCAACGAGAGATTCCAGGCAGAGTCTTCTCTTGGCTACACTACATGCGATCTGCGCCGCCGGTGGTGGCAGTCGACAGGCGACGGAGGGTCGCAGCAGCAAGCTCTGTACGAGGTGCCGCATGGATGCGAGGAACACTGCCACGTTCTCACAATTTTCGGGTCCACGCCCAAACAGCGGCGGAACCGGCACGGATCAATCCTGGGGATCCCTCAGGTGTTGCGTGTGGAGCGCGTGGAGAACAGAGCGCAAGAAGGGGGGGTTGTGGCTGGGTATCTAAGATCGCTCGAGCGGGACCTGGCGAGCCAAGGCCTTCGTCTTCAACCAGGTCTACACACACGCTGGGTCTTCCACGGTACACAAGCAGTCGAATCTATTTTGTATTCGGCAGAGGGTTTCGATCCTAAACTCAGCCGTGCTGGCAGCGTTTGGGGACTTGGCTCATATTTTGCCCGTGACGCGAAATATGTCTACGGCAGCGGCTTCGCCAGGAGTTTGCCGAACGGCAGCAATCAGATATTGCTTTGCTTATTGGCCACGGGGATGTCTTGCCTGGGTGATGTGCAGCACACAGGCCTTCTCCCCATCCGCCAGGGGAGCCATCGCTACACCACATCCGTCGACAGCCTCTCCAATCCAGAGTTCTTCATCACGCCGTCGGTTGGGGCGGCGTACCCTGCTTATCTCATCACCTACCGCATCTAGAAGTTCTCCGCAGCTTTCTACAGAAAGCCAGGGTTTTCTAGCCCACGAGATAGTATTTATTTGCAGGGTCCACTCTCGTCAGCTCTGGGCGCGCAAGACTGCTGATACCACTTGTGCCGAGATCGCAACAGCCGATTCCGGTAGCAGCCGCCAAGGCGGAGGTTCAAGTAGCACTCCTCCAGGCTCTGGCTCCGATGCGCGAACACCATGTGTGTGCCAGGAAATAGCCAAGTGTTTTTCTCCTTTTCGCGTGCACCCGCCAGCCATTCCAGCGGCTGCGCCTCGCCGAGAGCCCAGATCGTCCCGTGCGGCCGCCGGAGGCCCGAGCTGTGACCCGAAAACCACCAGGGGTACACGAGGACCCCGTGCGATGGACTCTGTAGCCCATAACGCTGCAGAGTAGATTCATTGTACCCCACCGTGAGGGAGCGGCACAGTGACACGGTAATGTAAGCCCAGCGTTGCACGCACGCACGCCGATACACATGTCATCGTGGAAGCCCATAATCCACTAGACCAGCAGGTGTTCAAGGTGTACGCGCCTATCCGGATTCCACCCTAAGCCCTGCACTCAAAGAAATGCTCAGTCGTCCAGTCTGGTCCGTTCTGACTTGGCCTGATTTGGTCATGCTTGTTCTGGTCTCGTTTGATCTGGGTTTGTCGATTATTGTTGTGTCCGATCTGGTCTTGTCTGGTCGCCTGTCCTGCGAGTTGGTCTGGTCTGGTGCGGTTTGCGCTGGTCTGGTGGGGCACGTACGGTCCAGTCCAGACCAGGAGGTGAAGGGTTTGACGAAGACGAGGAGAAGGGAACGCGAGGCGCAGAGAGCAGGAGCACGAGGAGCCGAAAGAGGCGGCGGGAAGAGCTAGGTCGCCCCTAGGGGCGCGAAGATGATCGCGCTTCGCGCGTCGCAGTCTTGGCAGCAGAGCCGCCCTTGTGCAGGCAGGGCGGCGCGAGGGCGAGAGCGCGCGAAGATAACCGCGCAACGCGGGGCGCGATGCGCGACGTCAGGTGGCTAAAGAAGAGCAGCAGCCGAAAGAGCGGCAGCGGCAGCACGAGCGGCAGCACGGTCAGAGGCGCTTGCAGGAGCACGAGCAAGCCCGAGAGCAGTGCGACGGACGACGAGAGGCATCGGCACCAGCAGCGGCAGAATCAGACAGTAAATCACGGAAGTTTACCGCTCCTCTTGGATTGAACCTGCATCGGCGCATAGTGTTCACAATGGCGCCAAATAGGGACCAGTAGCGTTCAGTAGTGCGACGTGAGTGAGAATATGTATGATTGGTTTGCGCGCTAGTGAGCTTCCGCGAGTTGCTTAGTTGCAGCAGCAGCATCATGAGTGAGAGCGGTAGTTTTGGCAGGGGCACGAACACAAGGGGGGGGGGTCAGTTCTAACGGAGTTTCTTATCGGTTTCGTGACATTTGGTTTTTGGCACGAGTGGGAGACGCACCCAATAGCACCTCCCGACACCAGAAGCGGAGAAGGTTCGAGTCAAACGGCGGAAGCCGCGTCGAGTCCCCAACGTGCCGCGTTGGTGTCTGAGATAGTCGCGCCCATTCGGTTCCCAGACGGACTCTCCGAATAATGCCATGGATAGAGGTCGTTGGCGATGTCTCGCCGCCAACCCCGAGCCGTCTTTACCAAAATAGCAATCGTTTAGTAACGAAGGGAGTTGCGGGGCACCGCCACAGGGCTACGCTACCACGGCTGCCTCTTGGAAGCGCCATGCGGCCAAACGTTGGGCCAGAGTTTGGCCAAGCTATTGGTCGTTGCGTTGCCCAGACGTTGTGGAAACCCTTGGGGTACATTTGAGAGGAGGAGGAGGACCAGGAGGAGGACCAGGAGGAGGAACCAGGAGGAGTAGGAGAGGGAGGATATGAAGGGCACAGGTAAGGATGAGGAGGAGGAGGAACACTTTGGGGTCCAGCGCGGACCTCCAACAGTTTGTGTTTACGTATACGACCACCCTTCGGGTGAAAAGGAAGTTGGGAGGTTGGGGGAAACGAACCAATTGCTAGCACATGAGATGTATGTGATGGTGCCGATGCTGGTGATGCGCCCTCGAGTTAGCGACGACGCGTGATGACGATATTGCGCTGCGATGTAATGTCAGTATCGTCCCCGCTTTCTATCTCACAACAAATGGTCACAATCAACCTCACTGTCAATGCCACTTTTGATTTCACTATGCATCCCGTTCTAGCGATCTCATTAACGATCTCACCATCGACTTCACTATCGAAACCAAGGTGAGACACCCCTGGCCAGCGCCCGCCCACCGCCGACAGAACACAGACGGGACACAAACATGACACCAACGGGACACCAACGGGGCCACCGCGCGCCCACAGGGGCGGAGGGGCGGTCCATTGCATCCGAATCGCCCTAGCGACGGCGGGGTCATTCCTCTCGCGCGCCCACGCAGCTTCGCCTCGCCCGCACGCACAGCACGAACACGACACCGAAACATATTTTCTGGTGGGGGGCTCACCGTCTCATTCCCAACCGCCGATGGTGGTTGCTGTTCTTCTCCAACCCTGTTGTGTTCATCCTTCTCGGCGGCTTCCCAGACATCTGTCTGACGACGTGGTTCTTGTCCATCCGCAGCCCCATTCCAGGGGAGATTGCTTCATCCTGGGCCCCTTTCTGCCGGTAGTCTGGGGTTCCGAGAATCACACCTTCTTCCCCCTTTGGGAGGCCGCCGTAGTGAACAAACATGGTTCTGCATATGTATGTATGTATGTACATATGTATGTATGCGTGTATGTATGTACGCATGCATGCATACATGCGTGTATGCATGCATGTGTGTACGTATGTACATGTCTGCGCGTATGTATGATGGTATGCATGTATGGATGTGTGCGTGTATGCCTGCATGTATGCATGTGTATGTATGTGTGTACGTTTGCATGAACATCGGTATGTATGCATGTGCATGTGAATGTGGAATAATAGGTGTACGCGGATGTATATGCAGGTGTGTATGTAGATGCAAGTGTAGATGGGTATGTATACGAGTGTACATGTGTGCATGTATGTACGTATGCATGTATGCATGTATGCATGCATTCATGTATGTATGTATGTATGAATATGTGTAGGTATGTACGTATGTACGTACGTACGTATGTATGGATGGATGGATGGATGGATGGATGGATGGATGGATGAATGGATGGATGGATGGATGTCTGTATGTGTGTATGTATGTATGTATGTATGTGTGTGTATGTATGTATGTATGTATGTATGTATGTATGTATGTATGTATGTATGTATGTATGTATGTATGTATGCGTGTATATGTATGTATGTATGTATGTATGTATGTATGTATGTATGTATGTATGCATGTATGTATGTATGTATGTATGTATGTATGTATGGATCTGTGCATGTATGTATGTATGTATGTATGTATGTATGTAGGTAAGTAGGCAGGTAGGTAGGTAGGTAGGTAGCTAGGTAGGTAGGTAGGTAGGTAGGTAAGTATGTACTTATGTATGCATGTACGTATGCATGTACGTAAGTAGGTCGGTAGACAGCTATATAGGTCTGTGTATATGTACATGTATGTATGTATACATGCATGCATACAAACATGCATGCATGTATGTATGTATGTATGCATACATGCATGCATGCATGTATGCATGCATGTATGTGTATGTATAGATCGATGTATACGGGTCCTGGACCAGGAGGGGCCCAACTCGCCGAGTGGCTGTGGTCCAGGAGCCCCGGAGGCGCCAGGATGCTCCCATGACCGCCCACGCTGGCTCCTGGACGCCCTAAGGGCTGACCAAAAGGAGCCCGACACGGCCCCAGAGCGCTCCAAGACGGCCGCAGATGGCACCAAGACGGCCCAAGAGGCCTCCAAGACTCCTCCAGAGGGCTTCCAGGGATCCCCCAAGAGGTCATAGATTCGGCCGGCGGGGGTCCACAAAAGGGCATTCCCATTGGCGTTTGCAATTGTGATGTGCATCGAGGTTTCTGTGATGTGCATCGCGGGTTTGGGGGTGCTTAGGAGGAGGACGATGATAAGGAGGAGGAGTAGGAGGCGGGTGAGGAGGAGGAGTAGAAGGAGGAGCAGGAGGAGGAGGAAGGAGGACGAGGAGGAGGAGGAGAATGATGAGGAGAAGGAGGAGGAGAGTGTAAGGGAGGGAGGGAGGCAGGAGGCAGGAGAAGAGGGAGAGGAGGAGGAGGAGGAGGAGGAGGAGGAGGAGGAGGTGGATGAGGAAACAGGAGGGAGGACGAAGGGAAGCTTGCTTTTCACTTTCGTACGCCGCAGAGTGACAACGTACCTTCGCAGATCGTTGCTGCAACGATGCGCACATGCTTTTCTTTCACTTGACCACTAACCACGAGTTGTCCCTCTGTGGCCACTAATTGTTGCGTGTGGCCATTATGCTGCCCACTAATTTTTTCCGCGTGGCCACTACGGTACCCATTCGTTCGTTTGCCCTGTCGGAAGGTGTGTTTTCGACGTCGCTTGAGCGCCATCCAGGGCGTTGTGTTTCCTTGACACAGTTGACCCAAACGATGGTAGGCACCATCGTTGTCATATATATATATATAGAAATTGTATATTGTAGGCGTCCCGGCAATAAGCTGAAATTCGTGGGGACTCTTCCGGGGCGCACGGCCCTTCCCCGCGGCCGGGGTTTACGACCGAGGCTGATGGGGCGCAGAATTCTGCAAAGAAGAAATAATTGTCCCATGAGTTTCGCCCCCTCGTTCCTCAGGTTGTCTTTGTTTTGTGCGTCCTCATCCCTCCTGGTTTCCCACCCTCGGTGAGTCTTACCCTCGATTCTCCTGCGCATGCTTCCAACCCCATGGGTTGACCGCACAACTTGTGCTTGCGCCCGCGTAGAACCCAAACGCGCGCGAAGCGCGCGTGGTTCTAGCTAGATATCTTCCAATCGTTGCCCGATCTAAGCGCGCGGCTGTGCCGAAAGCGTCGTAAGCGCTGCGATCATCTCCCAAATGTGTGTCGTGAAAAGTGCACGCCAGCGCTTGACGAAACAGGAACACAGTAGCAGGGGCGCGATCGAATAGTTACACCAGAGCTAACCCAATCAGAGGATGGTTTGAACAGTAGTGATATGGATATTGAGATCAATTGTGAGATCGATAGTGGAGCCGAGAATGAGGACGATTGTAAGAACGATCGTGAGACCGAGAGTGCAGTCGATTCAATGAGATCGATCGTTAGACCTCTCGTGCGATCTTTAGTGAGAGCGATTGTGATATCGATAAAGAGATCGATTGTGAGATCGATATTGAGATCGATAGAGTGGTGGGTAATGAGATCGATGGTGAGACCGATCGATTAGAAAATCGGCCAAGAACCCAGGAACCCCGCCGCCCACCGAAATCGGCCCGGAACCCAGAACTGGGAACCCGGGAACCTAGAACCGGGAACCCGGGAACCCAGCTTGCCACCCAAATCGGCGGGAAATTTTCGCCAAATCCTTCAACCTCCGCTAGGACCCCTTCAGTGCAATCACTGATTGGGGAATAAACAATGGCATTGACATGAAGATTCGGAGCTCCGCTTGGATTTTTTGGATCGGCGCTGAAACCCCCTGGCGGCGCCTCCGGCGCCGCCCCTGCCAGGGAGGGGGGTCTAGCGCCGATCAAATCAATCCGCACGTTTTATATTCATGCAAGGAGGAGAAGGAGGAGGAGGAGGAGGAGGAGAGGAGGGAGGAGGAGGAGGAGAGGAGGAGGAGAGAGGGAGGAGGACGAGGAGGAGGAGGAGGAGAGGATGAGGGCTGGAGGAGGAGGAGGAGGAGGAAGGCTGGAGGAGGAGGAGGAGGAGGAGGAGGAAGGCTTGAGGAGGAAGAAGGAGGAGGAGGAGGAGGAGGAGGGGGAGGAAGAGGAGGAGGGGGAGGAGGAGGAGGAGGGAGGAGGAGGACGGAAGAGCAGGAGGAGGAGGAGGAGGCGGAGGAGGAGGGGGGGGGAGATGGGGAGAGGGCAAGCTACGTGCACTCGCGCCTCATCTGACATCATATCCCTCTCTTCCACCCCTTCCCATGGCGATCATGTTTTTCTATGGGCAGACGCGTGTCATAGCCAATCTGCGGCTCCCACATAATGACCACTTCGTCTTATGCGCAATCGGGAAAAGAGGAGCTGCATGCTCAGGAGGAGGAGGTGGTGGCTGAGCAGGATGATGAGCGGGCAGAAAAGGATGAGGACGACGACAGCAGCATGAGCTAAAGCGGACGGATCGGGAGGAAAAGGAGGACCAGGGGAAGGAAGAGGAGGGGATTTGAGGGGGGCGACAACGATGAAGACATATTCGGATCCAGAAATGTGGCCCGTGCTGGGGAGATACGACACCAGCAACAGGAGCTGAAATGGAATTAGCGGGAGGAACACGAAGACCAGAGGAAGGCGGAGGAGGGGAAATTATGGGGAAGCCACACTGGAACAGGATTGAAATCTAGAAGCGTGGCCCAGGCTTGGGAGAGAGCGCCATTCTGAAGAACGGGAGCAAAGCGCTGATCCGAAAATGAGGCCCACGCTGCAGCGGGATCACATTTTGAAACACCGAAGACAATCATATTGTAAAGACCAACAAGAAAAATCAATTGATTTCATCTTGTGCGTAAGAGAACAGCACGCGGAGGGGGCGGAAGATTTTCCTGACAACTTCAGGGGAGGAGGGAGAGTAGTATTCATATTGTTTTATTGTGGAGGGGGAGAGGGGGAGGGGCGAGGGGGACAGGAGGAAGTTGGGAAAGGGGGAGAGGAGAAAAGGGAGAAAGGGAAGGGGGGGGGGGAGGAAGGAGGGAAACACGCCGGGATAACAAAAAGAAAGAAACAGCAAACAACACCCAACAAATCACAACACCACAACCCCCCTGCAAATCACCAACGAGCCAACAACACAATGCAACGAGCAACCAGCAACATAACACGAAACATCACAACATCACAACAACTACAAACCTTTTCGGGTGCAGACCTCCGACGCTGTGTTTTTTTCACAGCCCCCGCGTGTCTCGGCCCTTGCCCCGCACCTGGCCTCTCATCTCAGACACCGGCGCCATGTTTCGGAGGGGCGCTCTTCCCGATCCGTGGATCTGGCGCCCACGCGCCAGATCCACGGATCTCAAAGCCACGTAAGTGTGCGCCTGGTCCCCGCGGACAGCAATCGCGGACTCATCGCCGATGCGGGCCCGATGGCCTGCCCCGCCCAGGAGCGCTCGGACTCGCGGTCTGGGGCTGGTCGCCGATCTATCGGCGACGTATCGCGCGGCGAAGGTTTCAGCCGCTGGGCGCGCGGCTTACAGACCCCACAAGAAGTGGAGCTCCACTGCGCGACCTGTGGCCGCAAGGTTCAAAACCTGCTTGACTTCCGCCGCCGCGCCCGATCGCATCGCCCAAGCCCCGCCGAGATCCGCCATCCGCGCGACGAGGGAGGGCGCGAGCCGATGTTCCCCCTCCTGAGCCGTTCCCCTTTCTCGTCTCCCCTCAGCGGAGGTCGGGGGAGGCCTGGTTCCGTGGATCTGGCGCCCACTCGCCAGATCCATTGATCAGTGACCCATTTTACAGTCAAGACGCTGGAAGAAGGACCACTGGGGCTCAGTCTTCGGGCCGCTCCTCAGATCGGGGTCGGGGATCCCGGTCGTACATGAGGCTCTCCGTGGCCAGAGATCCCTATCGTTTCTGACTTAGCGTTCGCTCTGGTGGCACGATGCCGCGCGCGCACGGCACGCATTGGGCGTCCTGCCCTGTCCTGTTTGGTAGCACGATGCCTGCACCCCGACACACGACGCATTGTTTTTTTGAATACGGAGTGCCGGGAAGTCCCGTCCCCTTCGCTGGTTTTCCGTCGCGCGTCGTTCGCTGACGGCCCAGGGGCCAGGCGAGGGCCCTCGGAGACCGAAAACGGGCCGAAGCCTTCCGTCGTGAACGTTGCGCTACGCGAGCATGTCTGGACAGCGTGCGCCGGGCCCTCGCGGCAAGGTCAGCGGACGGCCTCGTCGAGGTGCACGGGCGCCGCCTGGGCCGCTGGCTGCACCGCGCCTTCCCCCACAAGTGCCGCGGGCCCGCGGCGCCGGGCGCCCCGGCGGTGGTGGACCCGGCCGTGTCGCCCACGGCCTGGACAAAGGCCGCGTCACATCGAAGCGTCCAGCCACGCCGCATCTCGTCGGCGAGCGAGGGGGGGAAGTGAGAAGGAGGAGGCCCTCTCAGAAGGCGGGGGGGGCTTTCAGAAGCCCTCGCGCCTCCTGAGAGGTTTTCTGTGTCTTCGGGGAAGGCCCACAACACTTCTCAGAAGGCCGGGGGACTCCGGGCCTTCTGAGAAGACGCGCCACTTCTCACTTCCCCCCCCCCGCGCTCGCCGCCGAAAGACGCTGAACTGGGGACCTCTTCGGGCATGGGAGGGGCTGCGGTTTTCTGGCCGCTCTTTGGGTCCAGGTCGAGGAGCCTGTCCGTGGGCGGCGGCGAGGCTCGCCGTGGCCAGGAGAGCGATTTCGCTCCTCGTGCAGCGTGCCTGGTGTCGGCTACGCGTGAGAGCGACCCTTCGCCAGGGTGACCTTCCGTGCGGGCCCACGGGGGGTCCCCCCGGCATGGGGTCTGCGCGACGGGCTTCGGCCTCGCCGCGGCCTCCTGAGGCTGCGCAGCAAAGGGCCACTCCTGCCCGGGGCCGCTCCTGCGTGCAGCTGGCTATGGCAGGACGGTGCTCGCGTGCAGCCCGAAGGGGCGCGAAGGTCGTCCGTCGCACGCAGCCCATCGACCCCCAATCGCCCCATGGATTGCCAATGGGGGCCCGGTGGCCCACCCCGCCCAGGGGCGCGCGGGCCATCGGTGCAGCCAAGACGCCGAACTGAGGGCCACTTTGGGCTCAGGAGGCCTCAGGTCTAGGTCGGGAGGCCTGTCCGTGGCCGAGGCTTGCCGTGGCCAGGAAAGCCCCTTCGTTCCTTGTTGAGCGTTCTTCATGATAGAACGATGACCGCCGTAGGCCACTGGGGTCTTGAGGCAGTCATCTTGGGATCGACTTGTGGTCATGGGGTCATGCTGAGGTCATCTTGGCACCGTCTTGACGCCGTGGCACATCTTGAGGTCAGCTTGAGGTCGCAATTTCGTATTGGAATAGTCCAGGACACCTCTAAGGGCGCGAAGAGCTAATCGCGCATCGCGCGTCGCGGCCTGGGCCAGAACGCGATGCGCGGGCAGCGGGCGAGACCTCTCATCGATTCTCGGTCTAGGGTTTTCTTCCCTGACTCCGGCCTCTGGAGCCCCCGCTTCTGGCCCCTCCGTGGCCGTCGCGAAGTTGCCCAGGGCCCAAGTCACCCTTGGCGCGGGCAGGCTGGGAACAGGGCTTGAAAATCGAGGAGGCGGGACGAGGTCTGAGGAGGATCGAGGGTTGAGGAGGCACGGGAAGTATCGGCGGGGAGGTTGGAGGCCTAGACGAAGGCCGCAGCACCGTTTGGGGGTTGGGTCAGAAGGGACGGACGGCCATGGTGCAAGTGATGGTGATGATGGTGGTAGCACTCGATTGTGATGACGTGGTGGAACTTGTGGTGCGTGTCCCTGTGTTGGTGTCGTTGCCAGTGATGGTGCTGACGTCGGTGCGGATGCCAGAGTTAAACTTTGGTGAGAGGTTAGGTCGTGCCCCATCAAACGTTTTGGGTCGTTTCATGTTGCAATCGATTTTGGGCAATCACGCAACTAGTGGCCTTGGACGCCGGCTTCCCCGCGACGGCAGTTTCGTTCGTTCGTTCTTTGTGTCGTGCCCCATGGAGGCTGGAAAGTACCTGCCGCTGGACGCGCCAGAGGTCGAGGAGATTCGCGCTCACTTGGAGACCCGCTGGGGCCCCGACGGCACAGGCGCGGACCCGCGATCGTTCGCGGCTCGGAGCTCGATGAGCTTGGACGAGGATGGCTGGGCAAAGATCCAGCAGCCTGGCCAGAAATATTCAAAGCGGAAGCTCGGGTTGGTAAGGCGTCGGGTTGCGCGCAGACAGCCCCCCCCCCAGGCAGCCCTGGCTGGCCTCAACATGCCCCCCGAGTAGTCCCAGCGGGCCTCAACAGGCTTCCCATGTAGTCCGGGGCGGTCTCAACACCCGAGAGCCGCGTCCGGCGGCGCCCCTGGGTGTGGAGACCGCCTGGACTATTCGATGGGCCTGTTGAGGCCAGCTGGGTCTACTCGGGAGGCCTGATGAGGCCAGCCAGGGCGTACTGGGGGGGGGGGCCGTCTGTGCACAACGTAAAAGCCTTACCAAGCCTGGCCAGAAATATTCAAAGCGGGGGCATGGGTCATGCTTGATCAGAACCGCGTCTCGGCGCATCGCCAGGGTTGACTGGTCGACATGTTGTGCGTGCGCCTGGCTAAGACTGAGGTCCGCAGAGCGAGTTGTTTTCGGTCGTTGATTTCGAATGCTCAGATTCCAACACGTTCTAGGTGCCTTCCTGCCTTCATCGTCGAGCGATTTTCCCTTCTCCTTTTGGCGACGCAGAAAATCAGGGTCGTCTGCACGGTCAGTGGCGCGTAAGTTATCCGCGCAAGCTGCCTGCGTAATTAAGGTCGCGCGTAAGCGCCCCCTTTCCTTCGCGGTGTGACACGCTGCTGGCCCGCGTGAGCCGCGGCGGAGGGTCGCTATGCGCTAAGGCTTCTTGGGTAAGGCCCGTTTCTTCTCGTCGCTCATGTCTGTACCCACGTCTGCCGACCGATGATCATGTCTCGGCGGCGAGTCCGGGGGGAAGTGAGAAGGAGAAGGCCTTCGCAGAAGGCTCGGAAGTCCCGTGGCCCTCTGAGAGTGCTCTGAGCCTCCCCCGAAAGGCACAGAGAACCGCTCAGGAGGCCGTGGGGCTTCTGAGAAGTCCCGCCGCCTTCCGAGAGGGCCTTCTCCTCCTCGCTTCCCCCGCCCCCCCCTCGTTCGCCGCCCCGCCGCCGCAGGAGTTGCAGCTCATCCACAGGTTCCACGAACAGCAGAAGTCCGGCGGCCCGCCCGTGCAGCAGGCCTAGGGGCGGGCCTGAGGGCGCAGCGCAGGGGGAGGGCGGGCCCTTCGACCGCGAGGGTCCTCGACACCAGTGACCCGCAGACTGACAGCGTATGAGAGCGCCCCCCCGGCACACGCGCATTCTGGCCACATCTATGGCTCCTCCTCAACTTCTCCCCCTCTTCCTCCATCTCCCCTCCACGCTCCTCCTCTCCCTTCCCCTCGCTCCTCCTCCCCCCTCCCTCCTCCTCTCCCTTCTTCTCGCTCCTCATCACTTCTCCCCCTCCCCCTCCTCCTCCTCCTCCTCCTCCTCCTCCTCCTTCTCCTCCTCCTCCTCCTCCTCTTCCTCCTCCTCCTCCTCCTCCTCGTGGCGCCGACCAAGCGGTCGATGAGCGACGTCGCCATACTACACCCCGCGATATTCCAAGGGCTGCGTGAAACGGGACACCTCTCAAGGGGCTATGTCTGTCCCGTAGGACTCGTTCGCCCGCACGTCGGTGCGATCGAAATTGGTGCAGAGAGGACGGTTGCGAACACATGAAACCCGCGGTTCGGTTCGGTTCGGCGCGCGCCCAGTCTCGTCCGAGGATGGTTATGTTCGACCGGTTCGGATCGCGTCGCAGACCTCATTTCCCTCATTCCCATGGGATCACATAGCGACGAGCGGCCAAAGTGCGTTTTGTCATTTTCATATGTTTCAGTATGATTGAACCAGCGCCCGTCACGCGTCTCAAACGTTGTTAATCTTGAGCCCCCCCGGCGGTTGTGCGCGGTGCCTCAAGGGGTGGGCGAGGGCCAAGAACCGAACTTCCATGAGCACCCCCTGGGCATCTGGACGGGGTGATGGGGGCGCAGTAAACGTGAAAGGTATGGAAGATGGATCAGGCCGCGAAGGACCCCAACCATGCTGAAGAGCCTGAGTAAAATTCTGATTCCGACCGTTAAGGACACCAAGCATAACATGTCAGAATAGCAAAACAAATTCGACGAACTCGACGACAAAAAAGTGCTGGCGACCAAAAAGGCCGACGAAGGAAAGGAGGCCGACGATAAATTCAAAATATCAAATTTTAGACAATTGCCAACGACCAAGAACAATGGGGGCGTCCCGCCTCCCCTGCCCAGAGGACGGGCCCAGCAGCTGACAGAAGACTCGCGGGGGTCGTTCACTGCGGCGACGGGCGAGGCGACATGCTCTCCCGCCATTGGTGGTGTTCCCTCTGTAATCGGCAAACCAGTGGCCTTCAGCCACTCCTTGGTAGCGCTTTCTGCCCAGCTCCCGCTGCCCCCCGCCCTTGGGTTCCTGGCAGCAGCCTGCTGACAATACCGGCACGTGGACTGCCGCTGGGGCCGTGGTCCACCTGTCTTAGTAGGCCCCTGGCCCTGCTGCAGATGTTTTCACCACAGTCGGCGCGCTCCTCTCCCCGCGCCCACAGGTAACCGCCTTGCTGGGGCGGCTCGCTCCCCGCGGCTGGTTGCCCTGCCCCGCTCCCTCCTGGTCCCCCCCCCGCTCAGGCGGCTGGGCGTCGCAGCGACTCCGTCAGCTCTGGCCTCCGGCCCCCCCAGCTCCAGCGGCTCAACCCCGTCGCGGGGCGCCTGGGGCTCCTGAGTGCACGCGGTTCAGCCTGTGCTCTCCTGGCTGTCGGACGACCGTGCTGACCCGTCCCACGGTCCCTGGCGGCGATGCCCACGGCATCCTCTTGCTCACTCGCCCCGATGCTGAGACGTGGACTTCCCTGGTTTGGTCAGCTTTCTGACGTCGGTTCCTGCTCGAGAGTGCGCGTGGCTTTACCGGATCTGGTGGTTCAGGCGTTTTACGGTGTCGATTACATCCATCGTCGTCGTGGCTACTTCGCTGGGACCACCCCGTGGACGGTCGTTCGCAGGATCAGTACTCCCTTCAGGAGTCTTGGTGTGCGACTTTGGTGGCGCCACCCTATGCACCAGGTTTGGGCCACTATGGCGGCCTTGTTGAATTCGTGCCAGCAAGTCTTCGGGCGCGAAGAGAGCAACCAACTTCCACCGTATAATGTTGATCAGGGGATGCCTAACGTCAGACGGCAGAGGACAACAAAACACGGATACCGCTACCCTTGCCTCGTCTTCGCCCGGGTGGGCCTCCTGTGAGGCCCTCGTCGCCACGGCCGGATTCGCCTCGACATTTTGGTCAGAGCGCACCCAGGGAGAGGTCCGTGTCCGAGGTTCACCATGGCCAGGAGAGCCACATCGTTCCTGATTTGGCGCTCCTCATGGGCATCACGATGGTTGCAAACATGAGGTTGCAGGTATCCGCGCGGGGCTCTTGGGTTGGAGTTTGACACTCCTGGCGGCGCCTCCAGCGTCCCCGGCGTGCTCCGCGCGCCGGGGGGCGGGCCACCTCGCAGATCTCGGTCGGGGAGCTTGCTCGTGGCCGAAGCGCGCCGTGGTCAGGGCAGCTCTTCTTGTTCATGATTATTGGCATCGTTCGGGCGTGTTCATGGACCATCGAGGAGCATCTCGGGCCATCTTGCGGAAAAAATGCACGCGCGAAGCCGAACATTCACTGGACAAAATCACGCCCGAGCGATGCCGAGGACTCGGTGTGCCGCACGGGCAGCACGAGGGCCGTGCCCTGGCTAGGGGCCTCTGGGGGCGCACAGGGCCCAGGGCTTGGGCGCCATGCTTGTGGCTGGAGCTGTGTCCCCTGCGACGCCTCACTGGGGTGTACAGTCGGACAGAAGTTCGGGAGCCTTGGGACGGGGGTCAATGCAAACGGGGGTCAATGCAAACGGGGGTCAATGCGAACGGGGGTCAATGCAAACGGGGGTCAGCCAGGGCACCGGATCCTGCAGGATCCTGCGACGACCCCTTTGGCTGACCCGGGTCAGCGAGCCGCTCGTGGCCGCGAGGCGGCCGCGCAGATTGGCTGAGCCAGGTTTGCGAAGACCTGCGTTGCAGCTCTTTTGTTCCTGCATTGCAGTTTTTGGTTTCTTGTTGACCCGGGTCTGGATTGACCCGGGTCAGAAGATCCCACAGAAGTGTAACATCGAGATCTTTTCGGGGAGGGTGCCTTTGGATGGGGAGTGTTCTCGTGCATCTTGGGGCGGGTACCCTTGGATGTTCTTTGTGTTTTGGCCGGCGGTGGGTCTCATGTTCTTCAGGGTGTTCTTCTGGCTTTGGTCGGACTGTACGACAGTCTCGCGTCGTGTCGACCAGCGGCGGCCCCGCCGCTGGCGTTCAACGTTGAACGCCGCTGGCGACCGATAATCGGTCGATGTTGAACGACCCGACGTTTCGGAAGCGGCCGATCGTTCAAAGTTGAACGACCCCCGCGATGTCAGAAACCAACGCCAAAGTCGGCCTGACACGAACCTGCCGTACGTCGCATTTGGGGGACGAATCTCAGAGGAGGAAAATCAAGGGAGCAACAACCACCCCGACCACCACAATTGGCGTTTCCCAAACAGCCCTGGGCGTTTCCTGAGCAGCCCTGCCCTGGTCGATACCTTCCCTAGGTCCGTTCACTAAAAGGCCTCGCTGGCCGGGGTGCTTATTAGGAGGTTGACTCGTCTGCCCTCACTAGGAGAGGTCCCGATACTGCTACCCTTGCTTGGGTGTTCGCCGTTCTGGGCCCTCTCGGAAGCCCTCGTCGCCACCGCTGGATTCGCCCCGATTCTGGTCAGAGCGCACCCTGATGCCCGGGGAGTAGCGGTATCAGTATTTTTTGATTTCAGTCGATGGTTGGTCTTGGGGGGAAGGTGCCCAGGGCGCTTGAAGAAACGAGCTATCTCACATCACAGGTTTGAGATCCTCAATTGTGGTATTGTGCGCCGTCTTGGAGAAGGCCCCAGGGTCCGGGACCCGTTTCCCTCGGGACCGGTTTGATTCATGCCAGGTTCACCATCACATGTTGATTGCAATTTTTCTTTCTCCCCGCCTCCATCATGCCTGCGACATCGCGCCATCGTCGTGGTTCACTCGTGCCGCCAAGGGCCTTGGAGCACGTGCTCGACCTCTCGGCCCCCTCTTCCCACCACCCTCGGCCCACTCACCCACCCCCTCTGCCCTTTCCCCTCCTTGCAAGGCCGCCCCTTCGGCTTCCCCCCTTCCTTGGCGCGACGCTATCAGAGGCCATGGAGGACGCCCTCAACGTCCGCATGCTGGACCTCGTGCGGCTGGAAACATCATACCCATACCACCCACGGCCTCTCGATCCGCACTCTACTCTGCCGCGACCCGTACAGGGCGATTTTCCGCGGAGGCCCCGCGCGCAACGTATCTAACGGCCCATCCCGCCACCGTGCCAGGGTTGTAGGTCAGTTTTCTCAGAGAAGTTTCTTGCAGTCTTTTGGGGGCGCCGTCGGGGGCCTCTTTGGGGCAGTTGTTTGGGCCTCTTGGGAACCTCTTGGGGGCCTCTTGGGGGCCTCTTGGGGCCTCTTGGGGCCTCCTGGGGCATCCTGGGGGTCTCTCGGGGCCGAGAGTTCAAAATATCCGTTCGGGTTCCCCATCTTGGAGCCGTTTTTGGGCCGTCTTGGGCGACTCTTGGGCCGTCTTGGGGCCCTCTTGGGCAATCTTGGGGCCCTCTTGGGGGCCGTCTTGGGGCGATCTTGGAGGCTTCATGGGCGGTCTTGGAGCGTCTGGAAGCCGAAAAGGCGAGAGCGCCAAGATCCAACAAAACCTGAGAACACAAATGATGGTGGCCTCTCGGCACCATCTTGTAAGGTGTCTTGAAAGCCTCTTGGGGCGTCTTGGCGGCCTCTTTCCCGTCTTGGGGCCATCTTGGGCGTCTAGAGGAGATCGTTCGGGGACTCGGGGCCATCGTGGACCGTCTTGGCGGCCTCTTGGGCCCTCTGAGCCCGTCTTGGGCCCCTCTTGGACCCAGAAAAGTCATGCGGGAAGACGCGAGGAACCCCAGGTGGCACGCGACAAGCCCCGAGAGGTTCGGCAGTTCGGGGTCCAGGCCCATGAGAGACCCCTCAGGAGTAAGGACTGAGGCTTAAAGGATTAGACAAAGGACCTGAGGACACGCCAACTCTGTGCCCAGAGGCACGATGGCGGAGCCATTGGATCCATGGGACCGCGCCTCGGTATTCAGACCCCGAGGGCATAGATATGTAGATGTGCGATGCCATCCGCTCGAAGTCAGTCCCTGGACCCTCCCCGGGGGCCCACCCGTGCCAGTTCTGCCCCCCCCAGATCGATGTTTGACGCCGCTGGGGCCCGAGAACGACCTCCGGACCCCGATGGCGACGAATACCATACTAATCTCCAAGCTTGCCCCGTGATGGAAAAAAAGCGACGAACACAAACCGATGACCGATCCAAGGGCAACGTCAGGAGGGGATAGATTCAGGGGGGATGCATCGACCCCCAATCGCTAATTCATCGCCGACGGGGGACCCTATATAGCCCACCGCCCAGGAGCGTGCGGATTCGCAATCGGGGGTGTATCGCCGATGCGTCGGCGATGTATCGCCGATTCCAGCTCGATTATCCCCCCTAGGTCACAAACAAACAATACATGTTTGCCAGCATGGAGTGCGAACAGTGAGTTATTACACTTTCGAAGAGTAAGCCATGTGTGGTGTGAGCTAGGCCACAGGCCACGCGACCAGGACAAAGGATGGTAAAGCAACGAGGCGGCAACGGGCGGCAACGTAGCGAATCCCTTGCATGTCCCAACGGGCGGCAACGAGGCGGCAACCTCGAAGCAACGCGGCAGCAATGGGCGGCAACGTGGCGAATTCTCGGCATACCCCCACAGGCGGCAACAGGCGGCAACAGCGCACGAGGCGGCAACGACGCAGCAACGAGGCGGCAGTGGGCGGCAACGTGGCGAATCCTCGGCATATCCCGCAGGCGGCGACGGGGGGCAATGTGGCGAATCCTCAGCATGCCCATTTCAGTTCCTTAGTAACAGAAGTAAGAACCCCTGAGCGCAAGAGTGGTCTGGATGGGCTATGAATGACTCGCCGAGTGAGTCTGCCGCCCGGTGTGTCCGCACCGCGGTGATGTGAGCGAGCGAGGCACATTCAGCATGGTGTGTTAGCAGCGTGCAGCCTAGCGTATCCAGTGTTTGGGCAGTTTTCCGCCCCACGTGAGGGGCGCAAGCAATACGGATTCGGCTTCGCCGACACTGGCGCGCCAGCTGCCCGCGGAAGGTCGCGCATGAGCGCCCTCGCTTCTGGTGCAGCGTGCCGCCCTGGCGGCCCGCGCTGGCCGCCGCGTAGGGTCGCTGTGCCATCTCGCGCAAGACCCGTGTTTGATCATCGCTCCTTTCACAAGGGCTCCCACGAGGGCGCGAAGTTAGTCGCGCTTCGCGGGCCTCATTCCTCCTCCCCCTCCTCCTCGTCCTCCTCGTCTCCCCTTTGGGGGCGGCACGAGAGCGCGAAGTTGTTCGCGCTTCGCGCAGCGCGAAACGCGAAGTTAGGAGCCCTCGTTTCACTTTCACCCCTGAGTGCAGGCACTGCTGGGACTGAAAACGCACCACCGCCGCCGGTGAGGACCGCTCGGCCCCCTCGGAGTGGCTGCTGGCGGCCGCCCTGGCGGCCGCGCTGCTGGGGCCCCTGGCGGTGGCCGTCGCCCTGGCAGGGCGGCTCGCAGCCGAGGTCTCGGCTCCTCTGCGCACGCGGGGCGCTCGTCGTCGTCGTCGGCGGCGGCGACGTCGGCGGCGGCGGCGTCGCTGTTGGCGTCGACGTCGGTGGCGTCGGCGTCGTCGTCGTCAGTCTCCCTCCCTCCTCAGGCTGGCATTCGGGCTCAAGGTTTCGAGGGTTGCGGGCGTGTTCGTCGGCTCTCACCGTTTCCTTCGTCCAGCCTCGGGGTGCTGTTCAGCGGTTGCGCCTCGCCAAGAGCGTTCAGTGGTTGCCAGGTGTCCCGATCGTCCCGAACGGCCGCCTGAGAGCCGAGTTGTGTTCCAAATGGCAGGGGGCAACGATGGGTAGGGACAGGCTCAGGGGTGGATGCATCGACCCCCAATCGCCCAGTGATCACCGAGAGGGGACCGACAGCCCCACCCCGGAGACCATGGTGATGGTGTCCACAGCGGGCTGCTGGACCAAGGACAGGAAGGCTAGTCTCATCAGGGCCTACGCGGGCGACAACATCTGTGACCGATGCCGTGCAGCACCTGAGACGGCGAAGCACAGGTACTGGGAATGCAGTGAGAATAAAAATTCGCAGGCTTTCGCCTCCTCTGAGCACCTCGTGCCCCAGGCTTTAGCGCAGTTTGATAGTGAAGAAGGGTTTTGGGCTCGAGGCCTCATCCCTAGGGACTGGACCAGAGTCCCTCCTCCTGTCTCTGTCCCTGCCTGGTCTGCGACGGGCGTTAACGAGGTTGAAGTCGGGTGCCTCGGGGTCGGGTCTCGCGAGCGTCCAGTAATCGTCGCGGGAGACGCCTCTGGCGGTCCCGACTCGAAATCACCCAGGCTCCGACGCGTTGGTGTTGCTATTGGAAAGTTCGCCTCTCTCCACCCGCTCGTGGTTGAATCTTCCATCTCTGGCCCGCTTTGGGGGCCAAGACAGGCGGTTGCCAGAGGCGAGCTGTGTGCTTTTATGCTAGCTCTTAAAACGACCCTCGACCATCTAGTGTATATAACTGATTTTGAACCCCTGGCCAACAGTTGGTACGAATGCGCGTACAGATCACCGAAGGGACCTGACGCCGATCTGTGGGCTATCATTAGACAGCTGATGCTCCACCGCCCCCATCACTGTGTTTCTGTGCTCTTCACTCCCAGTCACCAAGACGAGGAGGATATATGTGCAGGGCGGGCGACCAGCAGTCTCGTGCTAGCCAATACTGTTGTAGATGAAATAGCTGGTGCGGCAGCATTGGCGCGCAGGATCCCCGAATCGGTCCGACAGCAAATTCAGATTCACGAAAGGCGGGCTCTTTTGGTCCGAACGAGGTTGCTCAAAGCTACCCTCGATTGTTTTGTTGCTGAGAAAACCGTGGCCTTGGAAGCGCGGGACCGGAAAAGAGAGGGGGTCCCGCCTCCCCCTCCTCCCCTTCCCCGCCCCCCCGCTGCTGCTGCTCTCGCCCCGCTCCTCTCGGCTCACAGGCTCTCGGAGTGCAAACAGAAGTGTTCGAAGTGTTTCGGTTCGGCTACAAAAGCCACGACTGCTGAATTCTGGAACTCAGTGTGCCCCCCACTTGTAAATGTGAATGGCACGCTTATGTCTCCAGCTGTAGGGGGTCGTATTCACGTCGCGGGGGGCTGGCTACACCCCTCCCATCTCCTTAATTACCATACTGCGCTCAAAATTTGGTTCTGTGGCCGATGTGGAGCTTTCTCGGACCAGCAGCTTCGGTCCCTCGGGAAGGTTTGCACGGATATAACTCCCACGGGTAGGGTTTACCTTGATCACATTAGAGACGGGCTCGCGCCCAAAGCCCTAAGCAAGGCCGACCAAGAACGGCGGCAGCGGAAGGTTTCTCTGTGCCCTGAGGTTTAAGCCCAAATTTTATTATTGACTGGCTCCGCCACTGGTTCCTACTCCTACTCCTACCCCTGATGTTGCCCCTCACCTCAGTGCTACCTACGCTCCAAGATTTCCAGGTCCTCCAGGTGCTCGGCGAGGGCTCCAGAGCTCCAAGAACGAGGGCCGCCAGACAGTCTGGAGCTTCTGGGAGGTACACCGAGCCGATCGCATCATGGCATCATTCTCGCCTCATCCTCCTCATCCCTGGCCTCACCCTCTCCCTCCCCTCGTCCTCCTCTTCTTCTTCCAGTCCTTCATTCCTCTTCCTCCTCATCATCAGCATCATCATCAGCATCATCATCACCACCATCATCATCGTCATCATCATCATCATCATCATCATCATCAGTATCACCATCATCATCATCATCATCACCACCACCGCCAGCATCATCATATAACTGCATGCTAAGTGTTCTGATATTTGGAATGTCGAGTGCCGCAACCACTACGGCTCCTGCTTCAGTTGTGCGGCTCCATGCGGGTTCTGGGCCTCTACCTTTCCGACACTCTGCGATGCGGAGCTCAGGCCTTCGGAGCCTCCGTGGTGGCGCGCGCGGCGGCGCCCAGCCGCGGGGTCTGCGCGCCGCAGTTGACCTGCCCCGCCATCCCCGCGTGCGTCTGCGCGGGCGCAGGCGGCCAGGTGCCCGAGCCCTCCTGCTTCGGGCTCGTGGGCGGCTGCTCGGTCGCGAGCCTCCTCGCGGGCGCTGCGCTCGGCACCGCCTTGGGGTACGTGCTGGTCCATCGCAGCGCAGTCGTGGGCCAGGCTGTCGAATCCGAGCCGAGTTTCGACGAGACCGCGCGGGTGCAGGCCAGGGCGATCCGCGATAAGCTCGCTGACGGCAGGTAGCCATGCCGCATGCGCTTACCTTGTCGCTGGTGCGATACTGGGTCGGCGGAGCCCAGATTTGAGCGGGATTCGCTGCTGGCAGATGGTGCTGGCAATCACTTCGTGCTGACACCCGACTGGGACCGCTACCACGAGAGCGAGGTGCTTGATGCAGATATCGTTGGGGTGATTCTTTGCAAAGCCAGGGCGACCGCCCTGGCGGTCTTCGGGTCTACGGCTTCCGCTCCCTGCCGACGGATCAGGGGGTGCGGGACGGCATTCGCGAGGGGGCCGCAGCGCTTGGCGTCGCCGTGCCGCTTGGCCCCGCGAGCCTCCCCTTAGCTGCTTGATGCGCTGGGGGTCTCGCCTCTGTGCCGCTCGCGCTGGCCGATCCTGGGGCCCCTGCGGTGGCGGCGGCGCTTGCTGTTGGGCCCTTGGCGCTGCCCGCAGCCCCCGCGCCCGCCGCTGGCCTGCTGCCGCCCGCGGCCGCGCCTGGTGTCGCTCTTCCAGGTTTGGTGGCCGCCTTGGCGGGGGCCGCTCCTGCTGCTGCCGCGGCGCCGCCCGCCGCGTTGGGCCCTCCGCCTGGACGGGTACCTGCCTTGGCCGCGGCTGGCGCACCTGCGGGCCCCCAGCCCTTGCCGGCTGCGGCGGGCGCCGCGGGCGTCGCCGTTGGGGCTGGCGTTGCTGCTGGTGGGGCTGCTGTTGCTGGTGGGGCCGCTGACCTGCGTGCGAGCGCCGTGAGCTACGACCTGCGGGGCGACCGCTGGCGGGATTCCCGCGAGGGCATTATGCTGCACACTTCGACGGCGTGAACCGACTGGCCCGTTCGAGGCCCTCGGACGGCGGCCTGGGTCCGCGCTCGCAGCCAGCGCCACGCTTCGTCCCCAGCAGCCTGGCACACTAAGTGGATGACTGAGTGGAAGATGTCGGGGGACGATCCGATCACCAGGGAGCACGCCTTGCTCTGTCGGATCCTGGGGTTCGCGGCGTGCTACGACCAGGTGAGCGTCTGTGAGCTGGCGCACCTGGAGACGACGGCGCAGCGCCTCCAGCTGCTGGAAGAGCAGGCGGTCGAGACGGCCTTCAAACCGAAGGGCAGCGACAAGAATGACAAGCACAAGTCCCACGTGCTGGACGACCGCGCCGAGAACATCCTGTTCCTGGGCGCCCAGGAGAGCCGCGGGATCGCGCGCGCGTGCCCGCTGCTGAGCACATGGATCGCGCACGAGTTGAAGACGGGGGCTGCGGTCGCCAAGGATTGCAGGAAGGCCCGCGAGGGGCGGGCGTTGCGCCCATAGCGATCGGCATCCCTCGCCTCAGCGGCGGTCCGCTCGCCCATGAGTCCGCTGAGGTGCGCTTGGGCCCCGAGCTGCACAGCTTCGCGACGTCGGCTGCCCCTGGTGATCGGTAACGCAACCTTTGTTCTCTTCCCCGGCTTGCTGTTGACGACAGGCCAGAGCCTCTTCGGTCTCGGCGTGGTCGACAGCTTTGCGATCGTGGTCTTGATTGGCGGGCCTGGGCCAACGAGTGCATGGACCCCCTCGGCGAGACGAACAGCCGGGCCCGATCTGCTCGCGAGGCGGCGGCGCCTGTTCACGCATGCATCCTGCCTCAGAGGCTCGCTCCCGGTCACATTGCCGATAATTTCAATAATTTCGATTGGCCTGTCGACCTTAGAGTTAGCAGCGCCACCTCGGATGCCGCCCTCTCAGAGCTGCTCCGCGATGCACCTGGGCATTGCAGATAATACCACAGTTCGACCTTGCGCCAAGGGCCGCGCCCCCTGGCCTCGCTGGAATACATATGCAGCGAGGCCGCCCTTGACAGGCTGGGGCCATGGAGGACGGGAGTGCTAGTCTCCGAGTCGACCGCCGTCGCTAGACTCCGAGAGTCTGGGCTCAAGCCTCACGTCGACCCCCTTCTCTTGAGCTGCCCCGACCGTTACGTCGACGTTCTTCGTCGACTTGATGAGGCGGGCGCGCCGCGGTTCCGTGTCCGCCGAGGTCGGGGGCAGCCCGCGGTCGGGGTGTTCTTCGTGGCCAAGATTGACGGGGGCCTCAGGATGGTGTTCGACACCCGCATTGCCAATTTATCCATCTCCGAACCAGCCAGCGCGAAGCTGCCGACGAGTGTTGCACGGTCTGGCGTGGAGGTCGCCCCCGACGCCATAGGCAATATGGCGTCGGCAGATATTCAGTGTGCGTTTTCCCGCATGAACTTCCATCGGACTTAGTTCAGTGCTTTGCGCTCCCGTGCATCGCGAATCGGGCGCTGCGCCGCGACGGGGTTGCGCTCGAC